TATTTTTATTTAAAAATATTTATAAAAAAATATTTTTTTAATTAATAAAAAAAGTTAAAAAATTATATTTATATAAAATTATTTTTATATATTTAAAATATTATACTTTTTTATTAATTACTTTTATATAATAATAAAAATTAAATTTAATAATATTTTATTTAAATTATATTTATTATATTATAATAAAATTATTTAATATAAATTTAAAAAATATTATAGAATTCTTTTAATAATAAATAATAATTAAAAAAATAAAAAAGAATTAAAAATAATATATAATAATTATAAATTAATATAATAATATATTTATTAATATACATTTTATTTTTTTAATAATTTAATAATTAAATATTAATAAAATATTATTAAAATATAAATATAATATAAAGGCTTTTATTTTAATAATATATATAAGCTTTTTATAAAATAGTTTTTTTATTTTAAAAAATAATAAAAAATATAAAAACTATATATAATTTATTTATTTTAAATATTTAGTAATATTATTAATTATTATTTTTAAATATTTTAAAAAATAATAATAATTAAATTTATATATTATTTTAATATTTATTTTAGTTATTTTTATAAAGTTTTATAAATAAATTTTATTATTAATTTATATTATTTATAAATTTACTTAATTCTATACTAAAATATTTTTATATAAATATTAATTATAAATAAATTATATAATTATAATTATATTATATAAATTAGTTAATTTTATTTTATTTTATTTAAAAGAATTAAAAAATAATAATAATATTTAAATATATAAATAAAGTTTATATTAAAATAAAAAAATTAAATATATAATTATTATATAATAGTAAATATTTAATATAAATACTTTTAAAATACTTTTTATATTTATATAATAATATAAAAATTTAAATAAAATTTAAATAAAATTTAAATAAAATTTAAATAAAATTTAAATAAAATTTAAATAAAATTTTAAAATTTTTTATATAATAAAAATTTAATTTAATAAAAATTTAAAAATTTAAATTTTTTTTTAAAAAATAAAACTTTTTCTTTTTAATATCCCAATGTATAATAAAAGTAAAGTACTTACTTCTATAAGCCCCACTCTTTTGTTATACTCTCTAAGCTAGGAGTAATACTTGATAAGCCTTCCCTAATAATAATGCAAGCTACATGTATACTCACCTACAATGTTACAACTAAGGTTTTGTAGTATGAGCAAAGATAAGCTAGAACAATACAAGGATGCAAGAGGCGACATTGGTGATTGCCTGACTGGCATGCAGCCCACTGCTTTGAGCGACCAGCGCTCGTAACCGGGCAAAATTGCCCTTTCTCGCCATTGCGCCCACAAGGGGGGTCTACGGGGCCCGGAACAAATGCACAAGCGCTGGGGGCGCGGCTGCAACGACCAGGGGAGCTGATTGCGAAAATTTGCGCAATGAGTTTCGGCTTTTATTTTACTCCATAGATATTTTTTTTTTGATTATATTGGAAAGTGTCCAACGTCCCCCGTTCCCGTAGTACTCCGTGGTCCCAGACATATCCAGCAGTAGTATAATATGGACGGAGCGCCGGAAGTTACACAGCTGCGTCTGTTCAGCTCTTTAAAAGATTCTCTTTCCTCTGGTTGAGCAGGACTGGTTATAGAAACTGCCCCTAAAGACTAAAGCAATTGAGAGTTTCTAGCCTCTGAAAGTCAAATCAGCATTATGTCGGCTGTTTTGAGTGAGTTTGCTCACCTTATCGGTGCCGTTATATCTGGCGGATATATTGTCTGGTCTATTGTCGAGCGCGTCTCACTGAAGTATATTAATCGTGATCTGACCCCCTTTGCGGCCTACTCTTCGCTATGGATTGCCGTTGTCCTCGTCCCTTTCTTCATATATATCCGCAACCGGCTGTACTACCTCCGTGGCAGTCGCATGCATGACTGCAAGCCCGCCAAAGTGTATCCGCACCGCGATCCTATCCTGGGCCTGGATATGCTGTTTATTATGCTCAAGGCTGTGAGGGAGCATAAGGTTTTAAGTATATGGTATAGCCTTTTCCACTCTATTGGCAGCACTTACTGGACCCTTACCACTGGCAAATGGGTTCTCATGACCTGCGAGCCGGAGAACATCAAGGCTCTACTGTCGACGCAGTTTGAATCGTGGCCGCTTAGCCCGATCCGCAAGAAGGGTTTGGAGGAAGTTCTTGGTCCGCATGCCATCTTCACCGTAGACGGGCCGGAGTGGCAGCATGCCCGTGCCATGATCAGACCCAGTTTTGTGAGGAGACAGATTACAGACCTAGAGTACATGGACAGGCATGTTGAAAACTTCCTCGATAGGCTGCCTAAGGATAGCTCCAAGTTTGATATACAGGAACTGCTCTATCTCTTTACTATGGATGTATCAACTGACTTTATGTAAGTAAACAGTTAACCTACTAACTGATCCGTGGCACTGCTAGATTAACTAACTAATTTAACTTCCAGGTTCGGACATTCAACCAATATGCTCACCAACCCTTCTAAGGAGGCCCTTGAATTTACTAACTCATTTGACTATATGCTCTATGCTGCCGCGACACGCGGCCGTCTCGGCTGGCTCTTGCTGCTAATGCCCGACAAGAGGTTCAGGGAATGCATTAAGGTGTGCAACAGCTTTATAGATCGTTATGTGGCTGATGCCATTACCCAAGACAAAGAAAAAGAACGTTCATATGTTTTTATGTACGAGCTTATCCAATCTGGAGCATCTCCAAGAATGGTGCGGGATCAGTTAATGGCCTTGATTCTGGGTGGCCGCGACACAAGCGCCAGCACTATGACATCGCTTTTCTGGATACTAGCTCGACGACCTGACGTGGTGAAGAAGCTAAGGAATGAGATTTCTGACTTGAATGGTAGGAAGCCGACATGTGAGGAGCTGAAGACTTTGAAGTACCTTAATATGGTATTGAAAGAAGGTATAACGATGAGTCATTTCCCTCAGTTCTGTTTCCCGAGAAATATGCTGACTTGCATTGTAGCTTTGAGACTCTGGCCACCTTTGCCTTCTAATATGCGCACTTCCAATAAGGATATAGTCCTCCCTAAGGGTGGTGGCCTGGATGGCCAAAGCCCTGTATTCGTCCCTAAGGGCACTGATTGCCGCTTCTCTACTTATAGTCTGCATAGGCGGAAAGACTTATACGGTGAAGACGCTGAGGAGTTCCGACCTGAAAGATGGGAGTCTCTTCGACCATCGTAAGTTTCCTAAGATTTAGTCGTTTAAGAGAGAATGCTAACTATGCTTGAAGTTGGGAGTATATCCCCTTCAGTGGCGGACCGCGTATATGCATCGGACAGCAATTTGCCCTAACTCAGATGCTGTACTTGATTGCGAGAGTGCTCCAGCACTTTGACCAGATTAAGCCAGCTGATAATAATCCCATGCTACAGAAGGCAGGCACGACGATATCCATGGTTAAAGGGTGCTGGATTTACTTGACGCCACCTTGAACGCGTTACAGGGATAGGATAGGCTGAAACTTGGGAAAATAAAACTTACAGGATATTCTTGTTTTTATTTTTACATAGTCGGCCTGCAGCGCTGCAAGCAGAGTAACCACAATAGTCACTCCTTCATACGCACAGTAGGCCGGCAGTAAGAAGAAGAGGCTTTTGCCTTCACCCGTCCCTACGAGCACAGACAAAGCGAACTCTACTATAGTTCCATTTACAATTTAGTGGAATTGAGCATATATAAGGGTGCTAGAGTTTGGTTTTGCACACCTATGTAGAGTAAATATTTGATCTCTATCTCTGACCCTTAATATGCGGAGTACAGTTGGATTAAATCCAACTAACCAGCATTATAGAATTCTGCCAAGGGCCCTGAAATTATCCAATGACAGTAAAGTAAGCACCATGACTTTGGTAGTTCCCTATCAGGGGAACTACTCGTTTTTTTAGTACCAGCACATTATATAGCCAACTAAATACCTAAGACAGATCATTCCTGTTTTTCACTGTTGCATAACTGTATTTTTATACGTTACGGCTAACCATTTCTGCTCTTTGCTTATACGGCCTTTGATACACTAGAAGGCCAATACGTAGGGTTACAGGGACCTACCATTGCGACTGGATAGCCTAACATCTCCGTCCGCAATCTCCAGTCCTAAGAATATAGTTCAGTATACCTATAAGGCTATTTACGTATATAGACCACATGTGCGCAAACTATTCTTCGTCTTCCACGAGTGATGACTTACTATCTGATCAGCAACATCTGCACTAGTTGCCGTTAAGGCTCACGGCCAGTACACAAAAGCAATTGAATTAACATGCCAATGCGACGACCCAGATGTGCAGCCAACGTCGCCATCTCTGCCACCGAAAGCTTGCGACGCCTTGAATGGTCACCTTACGCCGAACCTACAGAAGGTTAGAATTAAGTTTGACCTTAGCCTCGATAATGACAACATCGAGCACAACCATGTCTATTATCGGTTCGGCTATGTTGAAGACGCAGACTGCACCCTCAATTGGGAACAGCAAGGCATATGGCGGGCACTTCTGAAGGAGACTTGGGAGGCCCTTGTAGCCAATACTTTCGTAAGGGAGCTTATCCTTGATGAACTTCCCCAACGTGGATATCTACACATCACACTGATGCGTTTCGCCAATTTCTTAGCCGACTTGAATCTGCAACAATTTACCTCCTTGCTACATAGATTCTGCAGAGAACCGGACGAGAAGAGGGTTCGGCTGGCAAGAATTTCTCGGCAGCTTGGGTGTTTTGTTTTTCCGCCATATGAGGCGATTGAAACATCTACATAACAATGCGGCAGATCCTCTCGGCCTCGAAAAATTCGACGTTGGTGAGACATATATCCCGCTTTCTTAGAGCCCGAGGCATTCCCTCTTTTACAACCTCTCAAACTAGGATACTGCTTTCTCTGCTGGAAGCTGATTTCGTTTATACATGGTCATGCTCAGGTCCTCGAATCTCTCGACATAAATGAATGCATCAGCGAATATCCAGGTGAAGGCGCATTTCCATGGTCCATTAATCGGGGATTGACCCGGGAAGAGTTCTTTGATGAGGTATACAAAGCGAAGCCACGACTTAATGAGCTAATTGTTGGAGATATTAAGTCATCACCCGTGGAAGACGAAGAATAGTTTGCGCACATGTGGTCAAACGAAACAATTATTGAGCTTATTTGCTAGAAGCTGAAGGCAGACCCAACGCTAAAGGCATTTAGGTACGGAGCTATGGCTGATATAGTATCTTCATAATACAAGAGGAGACCAATGGGAATTGATTTAGCAAAGATCATGATCAGAGAGCATACAATCTTCAGATGGCATTAGTCAAGAAGAATAGATTAGGCTAAGTTTGATGAAGGATCTAAGAGAATGTCTGTTGTTGCTGCCGTATAACTAAAGACAAATATATACGCAAGCTGGGTATTACACTTACTAAATACGAAAAAGATGCAAACGACTTTATGGAAACACTTAAGGGACTACGAGGTTGCTTTGCATAGTTAATGTTTCCTAATGTAAGGTCTAAAGACTGGTTACGTTGTCTTTAAAGAAAGCTGGCCAAGGGAAAAATTCAGATCCTCTAGCTAAGAAATATGGCTACGATACCTATATAAGACTATCAGATTCTTTGACAAGTTGAGCAAGACGGAAGCATGGGCAGTGCACGCGATGTAGAGACTCTAACAAAGTGAATAATTACTCAAGTGTTCGCAAGAGAAGTCTTGTTCGAAGACTGTCGCCTAGAAAATCTAAAAAGAAAATAGATACGTCTCCAAAGGGGATATCTTCTATTTGAACTTTTTTTTAAATCTATAAATGAGTAAACAGCTAAAGACATGATTTGCTTTTACATAGGGTAGCTACTTAAGTTCGCAAAGAGAATTTAAACTTGCACCTATTGTGCGATCGCACAAGTTAGAGAGTTGGCGGGTCAGGCCGCTAATGAGCTGTGGCGTTTCTAGATTCAGCTCAGCGCTTTCGCTGGTCTTACTGAGACTACTTACAGCACTCTTGGGAATTCGATTTGATCAAAGTACCGTAACGTTGAACAAATACCCAACTCCGTATGTTTTGATCGTATCTATTTGAACTAGTCTATGCCGCGGCGATGCACAGAGTTGTGGGGGCGTTCCATGGCAGCGGGGCATCCAAAAGACAAGCGAGGCGCCTCGAGCTGGGCTCACATGAGCTGGCAGAATCAATAAGACAAGCGAAGCTCCTCGAGCTGAGCTCAAACTCGTATGAGTTGGCAGAATCAAATAAAAGGCCTACTGCACTAGTCGGTGCCGCCGGTGTGGTAGCTGAGGGCTACTAGTGCATCCGTAGACGCCAAATGCTCAATAATTGGAGAATCTAGGCCTGGATTGCACGGGATTGTTAAAAAAAAAGGGCGTTAGGTGGGCCCAGGGCCATCTGAAATCAGCTAAAGGACAGGGGCAACAAGACTATTGATTACCGGAGATTCAGCGCATGTAGATCCATAAGTCTGGATCGTGGCAAATATAACATAGGCAGGAGGTGGTCTATACCTCTTTGACAGTCTATTAAGAGGCCCGATTCCTTCTTGGATCTTTTTTGCTTCTTACTAACAGTATGGGGATTTTCGTGGTTTTTTATTGTATATCTATCAATTTGTGAGCTGTGCACTAGCTCTCTCGTCCACGATGGTTGCGTTCAAAGCGGCGTTGTTATGGCTCAGTACATCAGCTTACGTTCTTGCATTACCAGCAAGTAACAAGGACGCTGAGTACAAGTACGACATTAATGGCGAGCTCCTTAGCTCTGGCGCCGACAAGAGGTCAAACAGCTATCCAGGTATGCAACAGCCTTATCCTGATAGACCTCGTAAGAGCGTTTTACCGTAGCCATTGTCTAAACAGCTGGATAGTCTGTAAGAATGACCGAAACTACTCGGCCCTTGTGCGCAACAAGGCCAAAGCATCGCCATTTTGCTCCACCTACCTCCGCAGCACGAAGATCACAACAGTGACACCTACGATTCGCAAGACTACTACTCGAAGCGACATCAAAACAGCTACCGTTCGGCAGACCAGTACGGTTACAACACAGAAAAATACAGTGGCCACAGCCAGAGTGACGGACACGTCTACTGCCACCCAAACAATGACAGTTACTGCCCAGGTCACAGACACCAAGACAGATCTAACTACCATTACACTCACGGACGATCTCACCAACACTGCTACGGCTCTGGCGACGAGAACAGCAACAGTGGAAGTCACAGTTGACATCACAAAACAAGTCACTGACACTGTTACTATTGAAGTAACGGACACGATTACCAACCAGATCACGAGCACCGTAACCGAGGGAACCACCGACACAGAGTCTAAAACGGTAACAGTAATGTAAGTAATTATTAGCTGGACAACCCCCCTGCCCCCGAAGATTTAATGCTAACACTTGTACTCTAGTTCGACGTGAGCCATTCTTTTCCTCTCAACAGACTTTAAGAACGAGGCGATATTGACATTTTGTAGCGTCCCGGCCCCTATCCAAACCGTCACCGCGAGTAAGTCATCCTCTGTCAAAATATTTCGTAACACATACATTTAAAACTAACTCCCTTCCAAGACAAATACCATTGTTCCATCACTGGCTACGGTACAGCCCAGTACAGTGTGGCCGCTGGTCCAAGTGGCAGTGGCAACTTTGCCTCCTGTAAGGCGTTCTGCTCGACGGTATCGGGCGCTGTTAGCTTTGGATACGGTGGTGGGCAATGCTCCTGCTACAACGCTCCAGCGTGAGTTCCCACTGGCCTTGGTCTCGTGTCTAAGACAATGAAGAGTAACGCTTTTGAAACTATAGAGAAATAAATGCGAGGAAGCAAGCCTCCCAGTACTATTTCTCAGACCTAGCTTGCCCTTCTGAGAATCCTCCCGTAAGTTTTATTTCCCCTGCCGCGATCTGGAGGATGATCCTAATCTCAGGGCCCTTTTAGCCCGCCAAACGCGCCGTCACTCAGCCTAAACTCCCCGACTACATCCCGTGTGATGATCCTCGAGATGTCAGCAGCGCCTGCTCGTGCCTCATTACTAAGCCGGCCGTTCCTACTACCAAGACGGCTACCGCCTACCCAAAGACCATCACGGCCACCGTAACAAAGTGCAAGACGGTCACAGTTACCAAACCAACGACAGTCACAAAGACGAACCAAAAGACTGTCACCACAACCCAGCACCAGACCATCATAAAGACAGCCTACAAGACCGTTACCGCCACCCACCATAACGATGCGACGGTGACTAATACCGTTACGAATGAGGTCACTGAGTATGATACCATCACAATGACGGCCTACAATACTATCTCTGCAACGGAATACAACACAGCGTACTTCACCAATACCGATATGGTCTCTCAGACGGATACGGACACTCTCACTGCCACAAACACCAACTATGAAACAATTACCAACACCGTCACCGTGACTGAGACCAGTACCGCCACGTCTACATTCACCCCTCCCACGGTGACCGCGACGATAACTCAGAATGGATTCGAGTATGGGTCCTAGAACGTGAATAAGAAAGTGTCTCCAATCTGGTAGGGTTGACAGAGTGCCAGTGCCAGAGGTGGGTGGCAGAGGTAAGGGCGAGGGATGAATGGCGAATGGAATTTAGATCTTCTCTTCTCTTTTTAACTAATTTTAATGGCTGTCATCATGCTTTTCACTTTATTTCTGGCCTTGGGGGCAATTATAGAAACTAGAAGTTACACAATATCCTTAGCGGAGTGGGTTATGTATCTAGCAGAGGGGCATTAAATGCTGACATCCCGTTATATATACTACTTTTAGACGATCTAAAATGGTTTTTTAAGCTATCCCTTGGTGGGGTAAAGTCAAGGGTTAGTTTATCTACTCCATAGTAAAAGTGCCTTGCCTCCGTAACCTCCTGTCACAAATACCGCCAGCTACCCAGTTCGCAATTCTCTACACTTGTTTATTCGCCACTAACTCATGTGGAAAGGGCAGAGGTAAGAAATCAAGATGATTTCTGCACTCGATGTCCAATGGGGTCGTCAACAACATCTCTAGTAGTGAGGTATTGATGAGATTTAGCAAGTAGCATTGCATCGGCAAGGTCAATAGGGTGCCACTCGTTCTGTTTGCGCTGCCCATTGGCTTCAGGGGACACTGGATAGCTGCCTGCGTTGTCAAGGACATCCTATGTGATTTGATCGATGCCTTTTATCCAGGTGCCAGGAATTGCATTCAACACGGTTTCAAGACGGCCCAACATCCAATGTGCATGCTCGTGAGGAATGTTCACTGACGAAATAGCGTAGCTCTATGTCGAGCTAGTTGTCCGGTTGTGGCAAAACAACAAGCTACACAGCGACAGAATTGTCATGCGGGCCCTCTCCTGCGTAAATGCATTTAGTATCGCCCAGCTTCATGAGGTTGTTAAGAGATCTATGGTTATGGAACACAATGATTAAATTAAATCTACTTGTCGGCCTCTACATGCAATCTCTGACAATGGAGCGGAACCCGAGATAGTGATGCAGGATTGAATCGTTCGATTGCTGTTGCAGTTCCATCACGAGGGATGCGGTGGTTAAGTGCCTGTTGGGGCGTGCGCGCGCGCGGGCAAAATATTGAAAGGCGGACCATGAATTCGGACCATGCCAGGTAGAGAACTGGAGTAGCGGTTTGCATTGATGTAATCGAAGACGATGTCTTGCTCCTCAAGTACTTGAAATAGAGCCAAGGACCATGCGGCTTTCAAGACTGTTGCAGGAGTGCCGTGAGGCCTTTGAAGGTTCTCAAATGGCACCGAAATGCGGATACAGGCGAGCTGATGTGTGTCAAATAGTGTAACATTAACCCTGTCACAGGAGTTCTCTCCAGAACCCCTTTGCCCTAGTCATTTCCTCGCTGCTCACATGTGATATCCATTCGTGGAATTTTTTAGGACTCGCCACAATGTCTGGCCAGCGTAGGCTGCGCTCAGGTCTTCCAGGAGATAGCCTGTTGATGTAGCATCATGAAACGCATGATAAATCCTCAATTCGAAGTTCAGGCACAAGGAGCCGCCGTCACTACTCAGGTGAAGCTATGAGAGAATCTTTAAAGTCATGTTAGATTGGTGGTCGGGCATCGGCAACTCTCTGTCCTCGCTGCGACCGTTTTGCCAGATGAACTTGTTCAATTGGGGAGTTCCTTGGGGAGTTCCTTGGAGCAACCTAGAACCCCTGAGAACCATGCTGCACAAACACTGTCCGCCAGATGGCCGGCCGGCAGAGGATTTCTTGACAGGCATTCTGAGTTTGGCGAGATCTAGAGGTTGTCCAGGCAAAGGCACAAGCTAGACGCGACCCTAAAAACCATGGCCTCCTAGGTCACCCACTACGAGCATCCAGACTTGAGCATCCGTTGCCGTTGCAGACATGCTCCGATACAGGTCCTCCAAACCCATCACTGCGTGTTCTAGGGGTGTCGCTGCATTGATGCAACCACTGACGAATGACATCAGCGTGGTGAACCATTCCACTGTCCGCGAAAGATGATTGTCGATGTGTCATCAAGCTTTCTTCCGTGGCCCTCACTCTATAGCGCCAGGACGCCTCTTTCCGGAAAGATGCGCTGGAACGACTGTATGACAGCCGCAGGCGTGGGCACTGCCGGTACTGTATTTACAGGAGCATTTCAGGTCTCCTCCCGTGATACGACTCGTCAGTTCTTGACCAAGTGTTTGCTGCATGCGTCGCATGTTGGCCACAATAGGTATCCGGTTTTGCATACCCCAGAAAGCAAGATCAGACTTGGGCCACATGGTTCGCTGCCCTTCCGAAATGGTCTGCTTTCTCTTCGCCCAAATTTCTTCTTGCTGCGTGATCTATGGTGGGAAAGGAAGGCTCTGGGACAGAGAGCACGTATGGTCATGAAGAATTGCTTCAAGGTCTTCCTAGAGGGTTCGCCAAGAGACTAAATCGATTACAAGGTGGTGAGCAGCCATGAGCAATAATGTTTGGCCTTGTTGATTGAGGGTTACGTCCGCTGCAACTACCGACCCTTTGACAATGTCCAGGCTGGCTTGCGTAGCATCGACGATATTTTGTATGTGCCTTCGTTGTCTACGTCGTCGTGGACATAGAAAGCCAGGTTTCGGCAACACTAGGAGCTATAACCCTCTGAACAAGTATAGCAATACCTTGGTGGTCTTCCGAGTGTGAAAAATGAGCTCTAAGCATGGAGTGATGGGTGGCGGGTCTCTGAAGAGACTGCTCGACATGTGAAGGTGCGATTGTCTGCGCCTCGCCTATGCCAATTTCCTGGTTGAATCGGTTCTTCGATGACGGTCAACCATTGTCCACGAGAAACCTTTTGGATGGGTGAAAGGAAGCGGTCAAGTGATTCATCTGGGGCAATTAGTGTCAGTATGACCGACTCATCACTTAGCTCCTCGGTCTCGTCGGCGGTTTCAGCAAGTGTCGCTGCCCGTACCAATATGGCGACACTGGTGCGGAAGCCCTGGGTTCGACAACGAGTCGCAACCCGTATCGCTCTGGTTGAATCACCACCGAGTTTCACGAACGAGCTGCCACACCCAATATTTTGTAGTTCTATGGCCAATATTGACAACCACGCCCGCTGCGAGGAGGCTTCTATGGGGTTTACCGGTGGAGTCAGGCTGGGAGAAGATGCATTACTCGCTCCTCGCCTTAACAAATCTCTGGCTGCTGGTATGTCTAGTCCATTTAACTAGTCCCTAAATTTGACACGATCAATTTTCGTGGCTGTCATCTGCAGCAAGTCGGTTACGGCCACCCATGCTGTCGGAACCTAGTCAATCTCGCTTTAGCAAAGTCAGAGATAGTCTGCAGTTGCTTGTGCTAGTCCTCGTCAAGTAGGACCCCCGCGGCTCATTTGGGACACCTTCCGAAGGCAAAAACTGTCCAGAGTCTCCCAACAACGAGAGGATGGCAATAAAATTCTTGTGGTTATGCGTTGAGTGCAGCGAGCCACAACGGCGACCACTCGAACGCAGTGGTAACTGCTCAGAACCCCCTCAACCTCTTCCAGCTCGAATCGCTGAGCCCGTATCTTGGCTTGGTTGCCTATTCGGGCTAAGATGGCGATGCTTCCGTCGGCATTATACCTTGCCAAATCACCCGTGCGATAAATCTTCTAAGACGAGCTCCCACGTTTTCGCACGAAGGGCGGCGGGGGCATGAAAGAGGTAATAGTGTTGGTAGGGTCCCTGTAATATCCTCGCGCCACACTTGGGCCTTCAACCAAAATTTCGTTGATGGCGCCAATGGGCAGAAGCTTGCTCGGATCCTCGCGGTCGACCATCCACAAGGCGCTGCACACCGGGGTTCCAACTTTGTCTAGGTAAATGGAAGCGGGATCGAGCTCCTCAATAGCGGCGCAGACTAATGTCTCGCAAGGGTACCCCATCCATGAATAGACGCATCTTTCTACCCTAGGTTTTAGAAGCATTGTGATGTATTAGTTCGCCAGCGGGCATGAGTGCTTTTAGGCTTGGAAGGACGCCTTTAGGCGTGAGATTCTAAAGAGCAGTCGGGGTCTGAATAGCGAACTCAACTCTGGCAGACTTTATATACTCAGTCAGAGCGCATTTGCATGTTTCAGCGGAAGGTATGCAGATATATCCGCCCGCTATGGGCTGGCCTAGCATTTCGATAGCACACGCGCCCCAGGCCAGACCTACAAACTGTAGAACCCGGGTACCTCATATGCAGCCAACCGATTAGCAAATGGGGAGAACGAAGATACGAGCGATCGGCACTCTAAGACGATACCTTTCGGATACACAGTACTCCCACTGGTGAACATGATGTATGCTGCGCGGCCCAGGTCGCTTTCAATTGTTCCGGATATTTTGGGACGGATCCCCCGATCGAGAGTTTCGAAATGGGAAGCGCATCTCGTTAGAATGAAGTTGCGAAGACAAACACCTCCAAACACCATCTCCAGCTCGGCGAATGGACCGTCTCAGCCCTGTAAGCTGTAGAAAAGGCGCTGCGTGCGTCCGCTTCTAGTGAGGTCTCTGTTTTACGTAAAACCTCTGTTGAATATTCTCTCCTCAATTCATGAGGCTCACGTTGACCACCCAGGATATAAGCGGCGTCGAAAATACTCGTATCAGCGGATTCAGAAAGTTTATGATGGATTATCTTCAGGTTCATCGGAGACCGGCACCGCATTGGAGACGGCTCATTTCAGCTAAGAAACAGCTTTCCCGCCGCGGATTTCCTTCGGGATAACCCTCTCAAAATCCCTACCTATTGATTGTCAACCTCTCCTAGTTCTATGAAACAATGCCCCAGCCATGAGAGCAAATGATAATATGCGTTGTCGTTACTAAACCAAATGGAACTTCGAACCCCTCCCTTTTCGTCTCAGCCAACTTTAGTTGTCGACATCATTCCAATAAAAATTAAGGACCTCGCATGGCAGTCTTGGAGATTGAAGATATTCCCGCTTAAATACTAGGAACCATAATAGTTGTACAATGAATCACATTTTCCTTTCCCAAGCCGGTTGGAAAGGCAATTTATCATGGCGTTTGCTAAGCAGCTAGAACTTGCTTTGTCAGAACTGATGTGCGCAGGAATTAAATTACAAGTAAGTCGATATCTTCAGAATATAGAAATAGTGCTGATAGAGCTATTCTTGCTTGATCCGTGCCTCAACGGTCTCCCACTATGCCTAAACTAGCGTCTGAGAACTACCGCTTTTGAATCAAATAACCTGACAGCCAGACTTTCAGTCAAAGCAGCCATTACAACCTCATCCGTGGCCCTCTTGCCATTCTTGGCGGGCTTACCCAGTGAAGGATAATCCTAGGTATAGCCATTGACTGTGACTTCACCATTGTCCGAAGCACCGCCCGCTGTTAGCCTCCATACCATCCAAGACTCGTTGGGCCCAACCGTAACCACGTAGTCTTTGGATCCTCTGACCCCTGATCCAGCATTATAGTGTTTCAGATTCAACATGGCTAGCCGAACCAAGGCCCCATTGCGCAGCTTCGCCAAATATCTCGAGTGAAGGTTAAGGTTATCAATATAATAGGAAATGAACTAACCGTCAGATGCTGTGACCATGCAAAAAAAGCAGCAGCGGCCAAATTTCCATAGTTCAGTGACTTTTCATCCCTAACAACGACTGACAGACGTCGATTCAGCCGCTTCAGTAGTGACTTACCAGCGTAATCTGAAAACCCGTCAAATCGATCGAAAATATGATGAATGGTGGCAACAGCGCAGCTAGCGCAATTGACAGCGTCAAGGCCGCAACAGCAAGACACTTGGACAACATGGTGAAAACCTGCTAATGAAGTGAATAGTACCGACCCTGCAAAGACAAGATCTTTTTGAGATTTTTGTAGTGTAAGCATCGTACTTTATTTGCGATTTCCATAGCTTATAAAAGGATCAGCAATCCTCCATGTCCGGGCTCGATAATTTCAACACTCTTGCGCCTGTATTGAAACTTCATTCTAGTTAGGCGAGAACACCGGAGCATCGCTGTAATAGTGGCTAGACATGTGGGCTAAGGTACCCCAGGTAATAGCGCCGGATATTTAACAGCCAAGCCCGGGCCAAGACTGTAAGCCCGAGATTCATCGTGACTTGGCTATCAAAACACCGCCATACGCCCTGAGAATTAAAACCCTAATTATACATCCCCATGGCAACTATTTCTATTGTACGTTTGTGTGTGCTTGATCGAAACAGCTCCCACTTGGGCTAAGTTTAACAAAAAGTCCGCGGACATGTCAAATATCCGCCGTCTATACCAAGATTATCGAACCCAGTGCGGATTCCCATTCTCAGCGATTATTCTTCTACTGTTGGAGAAATCGGGTGAGCCTTCTCATCCGATGAATGTTGAAACACCCTGAATCGGTCTCTCTACTGGCCACTAAAATGAATCGGAAACATTTATGGCCGGTCCGGATAATCTCATAAGCAAGCAGACGGTGGTGGCGCTCTTTTGACCATCAAATCATCAAGTATGTCGATACCTACATAGGTATGCTTGGATTCCCCAGTATGAGACCCACATCGAATATTATAGCCTCTTTTGGTCGAATACTCAATAAGTATGCTACTATTCGTCATGATCTCTTAATAGCAGTTAATTATAGTATAACATATAAATGAGCGTACAATACGCTAACCTGTGCTTGTATTCTAAATATAAATTACTATAGGTCATGGGTCGTTGATATTGAAAGTTTGCTCAACTCCGCCTTAATGCAACAGCAATCAGCTTACAGTAAGCTGAACCATGCGTATAGTTGAATAAAAATTCCACCAGTTATTTGTTTCCTTAATTTATTACTAATGACTATTACATAACCTAGGTCATTAATCTGCATCCGGGTACCAGTAGTAGCTACTAGTGGTAGGTCCTAGTTTGCTATGTACTTTCAAATAATATAGAGGGGCTTTTATTCATGCAGCTTGTATGTTAATCTGAGGAGTTTGGTGAGGGTGCTGTAGAGGCTTGTGTTCTTCACTACATGTAGTTTCTGAAACTTTCAATGTTCCTGAAGGTTTAATCAGTAGTCTAAGTGTCCGATGCTGTTGGTATACTTTTTAGCCGGTACTTCTGGGAGAAAGGGGCGGATCATGCGGCATTCGACAAAGCGTCATTGTGTTCCTAGCCTGTCAAACTTGCAGCAGGGGCGGGCGTCGCACCGGAACTTCTCGTGGAGTTCCTTGAAATTTCCAAGGCCTGATCAATCGATCAGGAGCCTATGGAGGATAGGATTCCACCAGTTATATCTTCAAGGGAAAAATCTAATCTACTTTGATGCGAGGGCAACGTATATATAAACACTACTTTCGCGTTGTAAATTGAACTTTCGAATAATAACCATCGCAAACAAGTCAAACATTAATCACAACCTTACACACTTACTCATTATACATTTTTCCAACATGAAGTCCATTCTGACTATCCTTACGCTCGCTATTGGCCTTGCCAGTGCCGATACTTTAAGCATTGATTTACATGCTGGCAGTTGCTCTGATACTGCTTTCCAAACCTTCACAATTGGAAATATAAATGAATGCCACCCTGCTCATGAAGCATTCAACTTTTATGTCCAACACAACATCGCCCAGAGTTTCTTTGGCCGCAATCTTGGAATCCGGGCGTTCCGTAACGGCGACTGCACTGGTCCCTTCAGCACCAACTCGTTGTCTAATGTTCGCTCTTGCGTTTCTGCTGAAGGCGCTAGCTTTATGCTTACGAACATAAACTAAGGTCGGGGAATATAGGACCAGGAGACTCCGTTCTTCATTTATTCGAAAAACAGAGCAAAAAGAGTGGAAGGAAGAGGCAGATCAATGGAACTACCAGTACATAAAGAACAGTTATGTAGGAATTAGTAAAATCAAGCTCCTCTGGTCTAACACTGCAGTTTCACTTACTTGTGCCTTGTTTAATAACTTCTGAAATTGTATTACTATTCCTATCTTGAAGTCCGTCTGGCTCCTGTTGTTATATCCTAAGGTTTTATATACCTATATAATAAACTAGTAGATATTTACTACCTTAAACTATTAGCTAAATATAAGGATTGTTAGCGGTGAGCCATATTGATAACTCCCTTTCTCCCACGAAAAACATTCACAGACTGGTGATGTTGCTGGAATATTTCAAAGCCTCAATTGTATATTCAAAAGGCCTCATATGGCGTATGCGACCAATGGTTCGTCACCATTGGCGCTGCGGTTTTCTGTGGTGTCAACAACTAGTCTTCATGGTGAGATGGTCTCGCTGCCACGCTTAATATTGGAATCAGAATCTTGAACAGTACTCAATGCTTCTGTAGCGTCCTCGACAGCTTCCACGCCTTGCTCCGAGCTGGTAGTATTACAGAGCGCATCAGTGATGAGAGGAACAGGGGAGTATATTGGTTGTCCACTCCATCTATTCCCGTATATCCCGTATAGCGCATCTTCCAGCAAGGAAGCATCCCCACCACTGTTGCCGTATCCATACATGTACTCATCAAGCCTATTGTTGCAAATCTCCGTTAGAGCCTCTAAGTAATTCAAGTGGAAATCAACGAAAGCAAGAATGACAGTGTAGTGGCCCGCTTTTGCAAATGTTGCATAGCCAAACGGAAAAGGATGCGCTGTATTGGGCCTTCCAAAATTTCTGCAAGTATTCGTCCAAATCTCTAGCCGTCTAATCCTAACAGATGGTGGGGGCGTACGAGGATATATGCTGGACTGCTGGGGACCAGCGCAACAGTAGACCTCCCCACAACAGTAGCAATCCTTTGTATGAGCTGGGAGCGAATCGAAGACAGTTGCAACTGTTTGCACCGCGATACGAATAGCACCAGCCGGTCATGCATCAATGCAAGACCGTGTGTTGGGGAACGAGACTTGGTGCCCATGCCAGTGGCAGTTGGTAAACGCATCCGGAATTGCATTCTGACCACAATTGTAACTTTGCCCGCTCTTGCTCGCCTTGAGACCTCCTCAGCTATTGCGAGATCCGACCATAAAGTAAGAATAGCCAGATGGACAAGAGTCATCGCTTCGGCATCCTGTTGTCCACTGGCAGTAGAACCAGGGATCTATTGAATCCGAAGTAGTACAGCAGGCTGATCGATAACCAGACGTACAGCGTGCTGTAATGCTACCAATATCTGCTTCGTCACGATTACAGCCACCCTTACATTTACCGTTATAGAAACCTCTCCGCTGACAAGACGACACGTCTGTCGACGTCAGGCAGCAAAGAACTTGTGCTTGCTTTTGATCCGGGACATTCGGTTGCATCCACTATGATTTGCGACGTCTCATCGCCGCGAGTGATTTGCGTAAACCCGTCAGGACAGGAGTCACCACAGTTCACAAACTAATAGTACTGATCTTGACTGTTTTTACTTCCCAGCTGATGATTTCTGAGCTACGCCGACGGTAATGCCTATGACTTTATCTACGTTCAACGGGTTGCCCAGAGAGAGTGAGTACTGTCCTCATAATTAAATGGCCAGACTCAAACGCCACTGAGACACTATAACTTAGCAAAGTTTGGCCTAACTTTCCAGGTGTCTTCTTAATCGAAAGAGACCCATTAAGCTCCATTCCAGTTGATGGTTTTAATAGTTGCATCTTTGTAAAGAGTCGGCCCTTAAATTGTTATCATGTCTTATAGTAGAGACTTCGTTACGCAGTAGTATTCCAGCTTGACCACTACACGGCCCTGCATCCCCAGCTGAGAGATATGCACATCATGGCTTGGTGCACGAAGAACTTGAAGAGTGAAATTGCGGCCGTAGACAGGAAGACCCATATTCATCTGGGGGGCTTGATCTTATTACACCCGAGCAATTCAACGGCCGTTTAAATCTCTGTGAGGTCAGTGTGGGTACCCAGATAATCACCAGTCCATTGGTTCCCAACGTCCCAGGTTCTATGAAGGTAATAGCTCATGAAGCGAAGTTAAATCAGCCCACCAATCGCTCAATAGCAACAAGGTCAAAATGCTGTAAGTACCAGTAGCTCATGGGAAGAGTAATTGACAATCCAAACTCATACTTGTTAAGAGCTAACATTAAATTAGCAAGAAATTTAGGAAAGTTCGCGAAGCCCTATAGCAGAAGGATCTTCTCGTTCATATTTTGGGTCATTGTTTCGGCTTCCGCCAAAGTGGTGAGTAATCCATTTTATGTTGACTAATCACTCCATGGCAATGCGCAATCTAAAGGCCCCATGAGCTAAAGATATTAATGTAGAATCGGTACGGAGTAAAGGCGAAGTCTCTTAATTTAGTTTAATGGCAAATGCCAGCTCCGAATCCATGTTCGGCCGTTCTATGGCCACTCTCTCTAAGACCACTTCCGGGAGAATCTGAAATGAGGGAAGAACGTTGAGACCGATGGGATAATGCGACGGATCATAGGGTAGTCACCCTAATTTTTATATTGACTATTAACTAATAACTCATCTATTATTTAGGGCTGTGGAAGGCCTGGTTGTGCCAGACACATTGTCTTTATCGACAAGGTTGTTTGAAACAAATGAATGAGCATGAAGTACATGATACTGTAGCATGCTGCTGTTGAGCAGCTTATCTCAAGATCTACCGCAAGAGTTTGAGTGAAGGGGTTATTCCAATGATTGATTGGTCGAGAAATTTCTGTATTAGGTAATCTCCCCGAGACAATTCTGACAGAGCGACGGCGGTCAATGAGGGGTCGTGCACTTAGTCAGCAACAACACTAATTTAGTCCCACTAGTAACATTACCCAGCTCCACTGCGCCACTACCCTGTTCCTAGATTACTGATCAAGTCGACGGTCACCTTGGCGAGAAGCCCGTTGATCTTTACTCCTGGAAAAAAAAAAAACATGATATTGCTCAACCCTAAGTCATATCTCAGAACGACTAACGAGACGGGAACCAGTTCATTCTCCCAAAGTATTGTTTTCATCCCACATATGCATGTTTCATGTATTCGCCGTATCATGATGTTTTGCAGTGACCCGTTCCAGGACACTAAGTGATCATGTGAGACGCGAGGTCAGTGCAAAAAAGAAAGAAAGAAAGAAAGAAAATGAAGAAAACAAATAACAGGGTAGAAGAGGAAAGGAAATGTCGCATGGCCGGTGCTAAATCGAAACATTTTTACCTAATCGAGAAAATAATAAGCAGGATGGTGTAAGACAGGGGCAGGCTGCGACGTCGACGGGTGCTGAATCGAAACCTTTTTACTTAATCGAGGAAATAGTCTGCAGCATGGTGTGAGACTGGGACTGGCTTCGACGTCGGCGCAAGGTCCGCGTGCGTAACGATGCAGCGCAAATCCCGTCTATGCTCGTCGCCCGATATCATGGTACATACTAACTAATATGGACACTTACGCAATTACAACCGAGGTCTCCTAGTACAAATAAAGCCGCCTGTCTAATTCCACAATAGACATCGGGATTTGCGCCATACGATCATGTTAAGCGAGAGACTCATTAACATGGGACGACGTCTGTCCTTGTTCAGAGAAATGATAGTAGCGCAGCGAGTTTCCGTGGCGGCCCACTACCGGAGTTTACGAAGAACGAACTTAGTGAAAAACGGTCGGGCAAGAAAATGAAAATTGCGTTTATGCCACTGAGTCTCGGCTCTCCTAATTCTCGCGATCTATGTATCAATGTTGGAAGGCAACTGGCACATGTGTTCGGCTGCAAAGATGTTTCCCAATGTAACCACGCACCCTCACACCCGTTTCAGCTACCTTAAAACTTTGCCTCCAACCAGATCTTGACGGTTTCCAGCCATTCTTCAGGCTTCTCTCGCAGCATCCAATGCCCACTATCTATAACCTTTCCTGTATAATCATGACACAAAGGCTTGGTGACAAGATCCCCAAGTGCAGCTGGTGCAGGAGCATCACGCAAGCCACCAATAAATAAAACAGGAATATCTAGTCTGAAATTCTCCGGTGCAAGATTCTGTTCGTGATTCCAATGGGCGTTTTCAGTCATAGCTCGGTACCAACCCAGCTTGCCATCAAATCCCTCCTCCTTCCATTTTTGTATAGTTCTAGCTTTAATCTCAGGTGTTATAAATTTGGCTCCCTCTACTGTACGATCGTGGTGCAACCAGTCCTGGAGTTTTCCAGTCGGGGTAAATTCGGTCTAACGATAATTAGAAATCTTTGCAGTATTCAAAAAAGAGTGCTTTTTAACTCACCTTCCAAATGTCAGCATTTTGAGCATAAAGCAAGGAAAAGAATGACTCCGCATGATCATGCAAGGTCCGGGGGGCCTCTGCAGAAGCTATCCATGTCCAATATCCAAACGGTTCGTATCCAATTGTTGCCTTCAGTCGTGCATTAGCTTTCTCGAGTTCCAATTTTGCTGATGGTTGATATGCAACACTTGTCAGCACAAGTCCAATGATTCTCGAAGGCTGCCAGTTGGCAAACCGGCCAGCCAAGTAACTTCCCCAGTCATGGCCAATCACGATAGCCTTATCAATGCCTTCACTATCAAGCAAGTCGGCAATATCCTGTGACAATCCTTCGCTATTATAAGCTTCCGCTTCGACAGGTTTAGATGATGCGCCATAGCCCAGTAAGTCGGGAACAATGCAATTATAGCCGAGGGCTTCTAAGGCTTTAACTGGTTCCGCCCACATATCTGAATACTCGGGAAATCCATGAAGTAGAACGATCGCTTGCTTAGGCCCTTTATGTGCAGATCTATAATAGCTGTACATATACGACCTGCTGGTCGTAATTTGCTTGTATGAAGCACTGTCCATGGCGAGAGACAGATGGAATGATAAGTAGAAAGGCTTAGATTATGGTTCCGGATGGTGAGACTGTTGGACAATAGATCTCAACGTCGGCGATTGTTACCCCTATTTAAACTTTTTGTCTTACCTCCTGGAATGCATTCCAAATCACAAAGCTTCTGAATTATATACCTCAGAGGTGACATTCAGACGGCATTAGACTAGCTCGAATGCCAAAATGATTCCACAGCGACAGCCGGCAGTGAAACGTGCCTTGGAGTGCTGGGCTCACCAGCGGAAGCTCCGAGGCAACGCACAGACCTCCACTACGGAGTACGGAATACGGAGTTTATGGGAGTCCTCTGTCGTGGGGAAGCAATTGGGCTGTAAATACTGACTACCCCCCGATTCTGAGATTAAATCTAGCACCCGTCATCCCTCACCATCCAATTCCCGACCCGGCCCCAACCTCGGTTTCGCTGCCATCATATTAATGAAGATCGACCGTAATCAGATTGAGAATATTCGTAGATAAAACCACACTAATAAATTTTGGCGAATCAATCTGAGAAGATCGGACTTAGCATTTAAGCCCAACTGCGCCATGGATAATATATCTTTTATTTTCTGCTCTTTAATTGGTCTAGATTGGTATTATTAGCTCCATGAGTTTACTTACTATTTTCTCCATCCTGATCGAAAGTAAACGATGCTTACTGCAGCGTGGTTCTAACGTCTTTGGTAGTGGCTGTCATAGGGAATAAATAAGTATATCATATTATATGTAACGGAGGTACTCCTGAAGTCTTCAATTTCTTAGAGGATAACGGTAACAAAAGTTGGTTGGAATTTATTGCTATAGTATACTATTAATTGGTTTTATGGTTTGTTGATCTTGGAGAAAGCGGCGTCCTCTCCCTGGGCCGGGGGAGGGGGGCTTTCTGGTACTGGTAATAAAATTGTAGATCAAGTTATAAAATACAATCCTATAACTGAATATATCTAGGATTGAGATTTTAGCATAATAGAGAACAAAAGAAATCTGTCCGACACGCCCATTCAGGCCCTATATTTTAGTAGAATGCCAGTACTCTATTGTCCCTTCTCACAGCAACTGACATCTCCACCAACAACTTCTCCCCCCACCACCCGGGCCGCCCCCCTGCCTGTCCTCCTGATACCTCACCAATCCGCTCTTATACCCAGCCAACCTCCCATACGCACCTCCCTTGAAAGCGTACTGCATCTCAGGTCCATTCCCTAGTTCAAACACCGTCGACTTCGAATTAAATATAACTGGCGTCTCCGCACCAATCGTGACCTCAGCCGCTCTCTCCGCAATGATACGCGCCGCTGTATTATCGGCTCGTATAGTCTCCGCTGTTTCGTCGTATGTCCGTTTGACAATTTTTTCGGCGTCGTCCCATTCGCTGAGATTATGTTCGTTCATGGTGGAGATGACTTGGTTCTGGTGGTTACGTTCTTTCATCGCTGATGCCAGTTTCTTGTCAGGGATGGAGTAGTAGCCGACTCTCTGTTATTGTCATTTGTCAGTAACATGTAGCTAACGAGTGCTATGCAAAGATAGAGGGGAAGTAGGTAGGGAATTATGGAGAAATGGTAATCTCACCTCTTCCCATTGGGTGCTCGCCTCAGGGCCGTAGTCATGCACACCAGCGGTACCGCTCGCCAGCACACTCTCCGGTACATCCATGTGTATCAACGCTTTCTTGTCTGCCCTCATTAGATGCTTTGCGTGCACCTCGGCAGATGCCCTAGTCGCGGCCCAGTAGGCAGCCGTCTCATCAGCACGATTAAAGTTGCCAATCGCCGTTGTGCGCACGGCGGATACGTCACCGAAGCGTACAAACTGAATACCTCTCGCCAGGTCCGTCGCGCGCCACAGCCTGGTGAAGCCTGGGGCGACAGGAGGAGGATGATTAGCGTCAAAGAGGCTGGACCCAAGTCTGCGAGCAACCGCGGCGGGTATGTCACGGATACTGGAGAATGTGCCGCTGCTCCCCGGTGCCTGTTCGTGACTTGATGACTCAGAGAGCGATCTGTTGTATTTGCGATTCTTGATTGTGCCGCCCGGATCGTCAAAGTTGATGGGATCATTCCTGACATAGGCGAAGAGATTCAATCCGTCAGCTACGCCTATGGGATCGGCAGATGTCCACCGTCCAAGCCAGGGTGCGTAGTATCTAGCTCCGCAAGCGTATAACCCGCTCTCCAAGTCCCGGCGATAGCTGGCGAATCTATATGCCCGAGGGGCGTCGGTGTTAGAGGCTTGGTAGGTACCGGATCCAAACGGCGAGAACTCGTTGTATGAGACTACCTTGGCATCAGGGTCAACTTCCAGTCGTTCGCCAAGGCGGTATCGCACCAGCGCCATCGGAGAAGATGTGCTGTGCTCAACAAGGGAGATCGGAGTAGAACCTAGAGCGGCATCGGCGACGATGAGTGTATATGTTACGCGTGGTGGTTGCAGATTGTCGCCTGTGTATGAGGAGAAGATGTCCCCCATGGGAAGATATCGAATATCCTTGCTCTTGCGCGGTTGATCATCGTTATTGTCGCGGTAACGGTCTGTCACTTTGCGCACACGCGTACCCTCCGCATCGTAGACATACCACGTCATCTCAGGTGTGTTTCCATTATCCGCACCAACGTTCTGCGTCGAAAAGGAATCCAGACGATCGTCGTCATTCCAGGAGAGATGGCTATATCCCGGTATATACGTCATACAGCCATGCCGTCCCGCATAACCCTCATATTTATACTCCTCAGTCACTTTGCCCACCTCGGTGCGGGTAAGTCTGTTACTTGTCTCTCCTACAGTGATACAACTCTGCTCTGCATATGTGTATGCCCTTGTCCAGCCAGTGTACCCGGCAGTATTGGGGGTATTGGACATGGTGAGCATGTTTCCTGCCTTGTCGTAGGCATACGTCTCCGTGTAGCGAATCGTCTTTGAATCACCAACAGGCTTATCGTCGTTGAAGCTGTAGGGCGTAATATGTTTTGACTGCGAGCCGACTTGGATTCGGCCGGTGGCTTGTACAAGCTGACCGAGGCAATCATAATGGTATTCTTGCGTCGAATCCGCATCGTTGACGGCAATTTTGGCCGCGTCTTCTGTCTGGACGACTTTGGCTCGACAGTCGTAAGTGTATGAGACATCCTGGAGCACCGCGTTATCAGTCGTGCGAATGGTTCTTGAGGCCACAAGACGTTGTGTCTGCTCGTCATATGTGTTTGTCGACTACGTCTTATCACCATACATGATGTCGGTGATCATGCCGTTGGCGTTGTACTTGATGTTATTGGTTGTCGATGTAGCAGCCCCCGTGCCGTCCGTCTTAAACAACTCGAGAGCCGCTAATCGCCCTGCGACGTCGTACTGCCGTCTAGCCATCCCAAGATCCGACCCCACATTCTCGACAGGCAGGTTGAGAGCATTGTATTGATACTCGGTTTTGTGCTCATCCTTTTCCAACGCCGCCTCCTCGTCCTTCACACTTGACCAGTCCAACCTGTTCCGGTACTCGTTAGCATACCGCCGCGTGGACATAGTACACCTCCCTAGAACGTCGAATTTGCTATTGGTAAGCAGTCCAGCCTGGTCACGGCACTGATGCACCTGCCCGCGGAGGTTGGATGCAGCGTCGTCAGGCTGCCCCTCCCCGTAAGTCACTTCGGTCACCTTCATCTCGACCGCATGCTCCTCCGAAGACAGTCTCCAGACACTCTTCAGCCGTCGCAAAGCATCATACTCGGACCTTTTTCTGGTCTGCTTCTCTGACCAGGATAAACGTGACAAACCGTCACTATCAGAGAGTAGCCAACGCCGACCTCGGTCCATGTTGGCGGTGTGTAGCTGCCGTCCGAGGAGATCATATGTTACTTTCTCTACTGTGCGATCCAGGGCGTCTCGTAGACGGCATATTTGCCCGCGTGAGTTGTAATCCACCCGCGCTTGACGAGTTTCAACTCCCGTGCCAGTCTCAGTGAAGATGGCCCGACCCAGGGCGTCCAAGTGCGTGATTGTGGGAGCATCAGCATACACATCTCCTTGGCGGGCTGCTATCTTATCCTTTGCGCTTGACCCATCAGCCATCCGCTTTTGTCGCCAGGTCGGATAGTATAAAGACCGAGTGAGCCTTTTAAAGTAGGGGCCAACATCATCATCTGTCACCGGATCTTCAACGTTGGATGTGTTGCCGGCGTCATATTCCGCCTTGGTCCACGGCGTGAATCGAGTCTTGGACCAGGTGTGATCAGAGTAAAGAACCCCTAATACCCTCCCGAGCGGGTCTCGCAGTGTCGTCGTGACGGGGACAGTGCCATCGCTGGGGGACGGCAGAGGTCGGAAGGCATGAGATGAGGCACGTGAGAGTTGAAACTTCTGGACCGGCTGTCCTTTGTTGTCGTTGATAACCCATCCGTCAAAATCCCATTCCGTCTTCCCAGTATCACTTGATAGCAAGGTTGATTGTATACCCACGCCACTGCCGCCTAGGTATGTGATCCGCACGGAGATGGGAGATACGTCTGTACCCTTTCCAACGTGGTCGTGACGGGTCAGCTCCGCAACCCGCGAAGGCACGCCGCTCCGGCGGTAAGAGTCGATATCATATATCGTCCGCTGACTCGCTCCAGCAAGCAGGGACTTGGCTGTATCTCCGTAAGGCGTCGTGAAAAAGGCATCCAATGTCTGTTGGTCAATCTCCACTTTGAATCCATCCAGGTTGTTCCCAGTACTGTTCCCTTCTTTACCCAGAACAGCAATACCTACAGCCCGTCCAAGGGGGTCTGAAACTCTCTGGACTCTATTCCCATTTGCATCTATGGTCATAATGCTTGCGAGCTTAGCATAGTCGCTAACAGTGAAGATTATGCTGCCCACCGCGTCTGTAGTCTTCTTCACCAAGAGATGGTAGTGGTCCAACTCTACGGTTGATGTGTTGCCATATGCATCCACCTCACCGCTGGGGATGAAGAAAGAAGTCCGCGCAGTCATGAGGCGGTGGCCCGGGTCGTCGTCCCCAAAGATGGAACGCGATGGCTGTGTCCACCATTTGCCTTCCTCGCCGTTCAATTCAACGTATCCGCCGCCTTTACAATGCGCGGCTAGAACTTCCACATCCGCTGCTGGCTTCGCGTCGCCAAAAACCTCCTGTAGATAATCTGACGTGAAGACCAACTGGTACTCTCTGTCAACGACAGAAAACTCGGCTGCCACCCCAATGGGTAGTGCTTCAAGCAGATCCGTTGATGTATATATTGTGCGTTGATCTGCCAGTAAAATACGATACCCTTTGGCATTTGCGTGTTTGAGCTGCTCATCCGCGTCAGCTTTGAGAGGAATTTCCACAGCCTCCTTGAGAAAGCATGCGTCATCCTTTGCAATCATCTCCCACGCATATCGGTCCTTTCCACTGATGGCAGTAGCTGGGAAAACTCTGTATTTCTGGACCTCGGCAGGTCGTGGACTCTGGAAGTAAGTCTTAGACTCGACAGCGTTGGTATATCTCATCTCGGTGTAGCTAACAACGGTTTCCTCCTGCTTCCGTTGGTCATCGGCGTTGGGCAGTTGACTGGATGGTTTGCCATAATCCACGAGAGCCTCTAGGAGAACGTTGCCATAGTCATCCGTCTGCAGTGTGAGGCGGTGCTGAACACGGGCATCTTGGATCGACAGCTCGGGTTGGTCCTGCTCGTCCATCACTGTCGCCCTCTCATAGTGCGCCGTGACCTCCTCTCGTCCGTCCACCCTGCACACTAAAGGTGCCGGCGCCGTCTGTCTGAGTACCACGTCGTACGTCTGCTGTGAGATGAGGTATGGAAAAGCAGCCTTTGGATCCGACTGATCGGCGCTGAAGACCTCTTTTCGCCGTGGCTGGCCCGCGAGCGCGCGATATGCCTCTGCGGAAACAGCCACGTCAGCCCCCAGCAAGGGTAATGTAGTGCTGGCTATGGCGTCGTGCCGTGGCGCATTAATCTCATAGCTCCACGGCAAGCGACTCGACTCATCTACCCATCCCACGCCGATGTAAAACCAGTCCCTTGTGAGGACGGGGGGGCGTTGAAACGGCGAGGCAGTCACCGAGTCAAATTCCTCAGCATCCCACGTCTCAACCATCTGGAAGCCACGGAACATCTTTTCTGCGTAGTCGTAGTAACCGTTGTGGTAGGCATAACGGGCAGTGGATGATGTTTGCGTGACTTTGTCCACCATCACTGTCTGGGAGACGCAAAGGAGAGGAAACGGAAGTTTAGTCGCCCAAGGTGTTCCTTGAGCCGCGTCCTCGCTATAAAAAGAAAAGGACGACTTGTAGGTACATGTAGTCTCCAGTCCGGTCCCGTTTGACCACTTCTCGAGAAGTCCGGGATGTTGCGGGCCTGAGAGATTCACAAAGTAGACCGTTGAGAGTCCGCTGGTGCTCCTAGCGTCGTTGTCGTCGCCACCACCATGGTACAGATCAGACACCCAGCATAGGGATGTTAGACCTTGACCTCCAAGATCAAGGATATCGACAGCCGATGCGCGATCAAGCAAGTGAAACCCTGGAATCACATCTCCATCACTCCAGTCGTTTCCCGAGCGGTTGTAATAGGCCACAACACCGCCCTCGGGGCGCACGTAAAGCAGGTCGGTTGTCCCAGACCCTGTTATGTCGGCAAGTCGGACTCGCTGCGGCGAGAAGAGGTCACCAGCTGCCATCGAGGGAGCATTACCCATGATGATCCTGCATCCGAAAGTTCCATGGCCTGTGTTGGGCCAGTAACTCACGTTTCCGTTGCGAATCTCGACTATGTCGGCTAGACCATCGCCTGTCATATCACAGAGCTGAATCAGCGATGTAGGATCTCCTAGAGACAGTACCGGGGCCCCAATAGCAGCCTGCGCCGGACAGAAGCCATCGGAGCCCAAGGATGACTGCCATACAAGGGAACCACCAGCCATAGGCGCCATAGACAGCAAATCGGCAGTGCCAGTCCCGCTCAAATCGACGGAGCGGTAATCCTCTGGGTTATCGAGGTTTGGTTGCGACTGGAAGGGCACATAATTCAGCCATCCATCGTCTTCGTCGCGTTCGTAAAATCCACGCAGGCCGCCATTCTCGGTCATGACCACGACGTCTAGCGCTCCTTTTCCACGAACATCTTCAAAACGCCAGTCCTCGACGGCAGACTGGGTCATGCTTGGCAACATACTCACTGGGCGTGGTTCGCCAAATTCTGGGTGGCCATCCGCTCCCGTGACGTTGCGCTGGTAGTAACACCCTCCACCCTTGGACTTGGTGAGTATGCCGGGCGCACCTTCGCCGTCTAGGTCAACCCATTGCGCCATGGAGGTGTCCAGCCCCGACATGCGCAAATCCATCTCCTCGACTGGCAAATCTGCAACGTCGGGGGGCCCCTTGGTATACCCAAGTTGAACTGGCGGCATAGCAAGGGTCCAGTAGTCACTGTCTCCCTTGGGACTGTGGCCCTTTTGAACGGAGGAAGTAAGGAAGCTGACGCCCGAACGCTCGTCTGTCTCGTAATCGAAGCATGTCGATGAGACGAGGCAGTCCTGCCTACCAAGCTCAGATGGGAAGTGGTGAAACATCAGAACGCGGCTGCAACGACGGTATGTCCGTATCTCGAAGCCGCTGTTGTAGGTCGAGAACGGGTCATGGCGGCGGTTCCACGCGCTCTCCGCCTTGGTTGTAGGTCGTTCGTCATTGTGCTCGCCGAAGTCAAAGACCACCTCGAACAGCCAATCCGAAGGCCTCGTCACAACGTTCCAGTCATCGACACTGCGGCTAGGCGTAGCATTCCCGTACTGAATACTCTTGAGGTAGCGCTGGGAAAAGGACGAATGGACATCATCAAATACCCCGGACTCGCACACGTTGTCCTCGGGTTTGTACGTGTATACAACATGATTCCCGCCACTATCATACTGTTCGGAAGCCAGCCATGAGAATACTTTCTTCTTTGCAGACGGCCCTGATCCTGTTTGGCAAAAGATCCGGTCGCTATCAAAGAGGCCGTAGATGGCGACAATGTTGTTTGAGGAAGTCACCCTCCAAAACGTGTCAGCATCATCTGTCGTCGTCCACTGCTCGACACGCGTCGGCGGGCCCTCTACCCGCGCACGATACTCGCGCACATTGTGCCCATCAATCGTCGTAGTGGGCTTATCTGAGGGAACTAAGTCTCCTAGGGCTGAATGCACAAACACATCCACATCAGCATGATCGTCGTAGGTCGGGACGCCCCTGGACGTCTTGCGCGAGATGGAATCAACCCCAGCTAGACGCCATCCCATACCAAACACGCCACTCGACCCAGCGGTCCCGGAACTGTACTCCAGGCTAAGAACGGGATCGACATGGGAGGAACGTCCAGAAGAAGTCGGGATGGGGATTGTACAAGTCGCACAGCCGGTCTGAGTGTCAACCTTGACGTTGAATTTCTCCGAGTTGGACCGACGACTGGCGCCGTTTGCTGTCATTCGTGTAGGATCATTATCGGGACCAGAAGCGGGAAAATCATTGGCCAAATTTCCGCTACTATTTCGTTGACCCACTTGGGACTGAGGATCGTGTGTCGATCTCTTTTTCTTCTTCAGCCTAACGTTAGCGTCCGTTACACAGAAATCCACACCCCTACACCTGTTTCTCAGTGACGCGGCATGTATCTCTTTACACGCGGTCACACAAACTTACGGATGTATCCACCGAAGTGACCCCGCCTCCTGGCATTGGCATGCGGGTAAAGGAGCTCATTTCGACGGCCCGTAGCTGTTACTTTTTTTTTTCCCTACAGGCTTCCAGACCTCGCAGGCTCAGGAAAACCAAGCGCTGATATGGAAACCATCATGGATGGTTGCCAGCCTTTTGAGTGTAAATGTGCTTGGTTCTGCTCTCATGATTCGCGGATACATTGCCTTTTACGGATTTCAGCCCGCCATTGACACGGATTATGGACGAATTCGTTCGAGCTGAATATCCATTGCAGCGTTGATGCCCAACAAGACTGTGACCAGGTAGTATTCCTCCAGACGCGGCTGTGAATGCCTCCCGTCAAGGTAGCATTCGAACAGTTGTTTCTATCAACCACTGATGATAGTCGAGATCCCCGACTTCGGAAAGGTGCCCGGGTCAGGCTCATAATTGGTAGACGATGACAATCCAATATTCAGCTACTCCACGGTTGCCAACCCCTCATATGCAATCGTGATACCACCTATGGCGAAGAAAGAGGGTGGTCAGACATGATGGATGTGAGGGGGAAAGGAGGGAATTACGAGCCAATCTCAGCGCCAAGCCAGAACACTCGGCTCCTGTTCTCTCCTAGGCGGACCAAAAGATCTCCCTTTTCAGTGGTTTGACGTCACTTTCCAGCTTGGTCAAGGGACTGCATATTTAGTCTCTTTTTCTTTCTCCCCGCCCTGGCTGGTCATTATACTGCATGCCGACCAACCATCGAGAAGAGAGGAGAGACAATCTGCATCATTCAGCTCTGGATGGTGACCTTGGCTATACCAAACCTGGCGGCAATGGCACTGCCTAAGGCCTCGCCGGAGAGCAAGGTTCCAATGCCGTAGAATCTTGAAGGGAGAGGGGACAGGGGCGTATCGTCCATTTGACTGACTGCTTGAGATTGAGAGACATAAAAGGCGACGGGAGGCATCAGACGTCGACGCCAGATGGGAAATGAGGGTTGACCTTTTCTTGTGACGAGAACTCTGTCCTTCTTGCAGACACGGCACATCTTGTTCACTGATTCGCGACAAACTTCAACACGCCTCTGACACCACTCCTCCGCTTCAACCATGAGCAACAAGTGGGACTACGAGTCTCGCCTGGAGACAACGACGCGCGCTGACTCGGGCTCGTACGACCAGGTTGTCGCCCTCTCACAAGGTCTCATCAACGAAAACTTTCAGAAGCTCTATGAAGCTTACCCCGACCTACTCTCCAACCTTGACTACCATGGCGTCCTCGGCAAGTTCAAGGGAAAGGTCCTGGCTCCCGTGATTCTGATTCCCGGTGCCGACCAGCATGGCGCCAACCTCAACGAGGTGATTATGAAAATGAGGTACGTCTTCCATTTCTCAGACATGTTTCTCAATCAACGCCAACAATATTCTTTTTGTGGCATCACAGTTTCACCTCCGGCTCTTTGAAAGACAGTGACGATAATCCTCTCATCGATGACCTCAACGGCTGGGTCTTCGCCGTACGCACCATGGTCGTTCCCGAGACCCTCCCTGACCCTTCCACCATCAAGGATGAGAAGAAGAGGAAGGCGGTCGAGGAGAAGCGGAAGCAGATCGCGGAGCGTTTCGACCACCCGGGTGACTACGGCATCGATCGGCTTTACATGAAGTTAACCACAGCGCGGTGGGACAATCTGGACCTTGATCTCTCCTTCGCGGGATTTGATGAGAACGGCAAACCTCTTCCTTACATTGATTGGGCGTCGGATGAGGATAACGTTGATACGAAGGATCTGCTGGAGTTTTGGCTGAAAAAATGGAGCGGCGATAACGAGAAGAACTGTTTGAACTCGCTGGGATTGACTTTTACGCCTCCAGACAGTGAGTAGCTACTATCTTCCATGTGTCCTGATGGAGTGTTGTGATGCGGTTTGATCTGTGCTGGGAGTTGGAATCCAGAGGCTGACTTGAAGTTTCCAACTAGCTCCGCAAGTCAAGGCAACTTACGGTGAGCAGATACCCCTTCATTCGTCGCATTGTTGTCGCGACTTCGACTCAGTAGTAGCAAATCTAACATTGATTCGTCAGCCCCTAATGACGTCCTGCACCAAGTTCACCAATACAAGAGCGAGAAGAATGGCTACAAGGATGGTCAGACCGGAATTGGAGGAGCGGGAGACTGCAACTGCCTCCTATTCCTCGAAATGGTTGATGGCGGCGGCCCCAAACCTCAAGATCCGCGTCTCATCTGGTCCGGAGACTTTGCGACTCTTGAGAGCTACGGCCATCCGGCCATTCAGGGCACATTCCTCCTCAACACAGACATCTTCATGAAGAAATTCCTCCTTCCCAACTTCACATTGCTTAATCGGCCGACCGAAATTTACCATAAGCCCGCTACTTTCTCATCCGATGGGAGACTGGTCTGGTTACACCTCGAGACTGGGGGTGATCCCAACTACCCCGACCCCAATGCCTCTGTGTACCAGTTCCAAACCGTGCCGGACGATGATAATCAGCGGCTCGTCAAGGGGTACAGGTGGACCAAAACAAGCAAGACGGGTCCAGTGGACAATGGAGGCGCGGTGTGGTACAGGGTGTGGACGGAGGATGATTCAAAGACGGAAGTGACTTGGGAGGCTGGTAGTGATGAAGTTGTCCTCAGTGGCTTATCGACAAGCTATGAGAACTGTCGCGGCGCAGGCACTAAGAGCGGTCTCGACAATCCCGACAGCTGGCTATAGTACGTAACTCCCCCAGCTCCCTCCACCCCTTTCTTTTTCTCCTGTCTCTCTGTCTCCTGATTACCATGATTTTTGAAACGTGGTCGGCTAACCGAAAGGTGGGCATATGAACAGTGACAAGTACACAGTCACATGGAAGGTCAGATGCAAGATCATTGCAAACGCACAAGAGGACGCCTCCTCGAGTCTACACCTAGAGATCCAACCTCCTGACAACGGTGCGAGCTCATACGTTAATGTTGAGAGGAAGGTGGACCATCACAATTGGCAGTCCGGTGGCTACGAGGATGTCATCCAGAAAAGTCTGGAGGGGGGTTTGCGCTCAGGGATCGACGGCATGATTGAGAGTATCAAGGATAAGCTCAAGACGGCTGGACGACTGACATACCCCGGCGGTGCTGCCCTGGATTTCCAGAAACCCTCTATGGGGCGATATGGCGATTTGAATGCTGCCGTCAAGATGAGGCCGTATGTTTCCCTCCTTACATTTTCCCTCTTGTCTACAGCCTCTTCACGGAGTTACTGACCATGTGTGTGCCGCGTGTAACAGGTTCAAAGCCGATGGTCGCATCAAAGTACCAGATGTAAACAGCAAAGGCGACAACAGCATGTCCATAGCCAGCACCAGCGTAGCATCACGGGCTGCCGTGGCCCACACGGGCATAGCAGCCTTAGCCATCTCTGGTATGCCACTCGTGAATCCTGACTTCCGCGGACCCATCATCTCCTCGCACAAGCTGACTTGGGCCGCACGTTCATCCAAGGTCCCGGGTATCGACGGGACGCGGACTTTGACAATACGGGGTAGCAACGACACCTCCAAGACTGTCAGCCTGGCGGCTTCTGTGCTGATCTTCAATGTTGGGGAGGATGAGGACAAGGGGTGCCTGTTTAGGGGTGGAAGTAAGTTCCGGTATCGCAGTGGTGGTCCATTTGTCCCTCGGGAAGTTGAGGAGAGGGAGAAGAAGGAAGGGGAAGACGATGAGCCCAAGCCGGAGGATACTGTGACACTCACTTGGTCCCCCGACATGTACACGACCACCGCCACCATCAACAGCCCCAGGGACAAGTCGGTGGAATTGCCAGGACCAAACCCGGCACCGGAGCCTTCGGTCGTCCCATGGGAGATTGAAATCCAAAGTGGTGGCTTTTGGGGTGAAGCCATGAATGTCCCACCCGGGGCGTGGTTCCAGTTGGACATCACTGGCACCCCTACCGTGTATAAAGGTGGCCCCAAGTTGGTGAGTGTGAGGGAGAAGACGCAGGATAAGGCGGGGAAGATTATTGCGGAGTGGGAAATGGAGTACCGGGTTGTGTGGTATGAGTGAGGGGGTGCTACTTCGGTAGTTGGTAGGCCGGAAAGGACTGATGATATAGGTAAGTAGCATCAGGGTAGGTAGCTAGGTAGGCACTGAGAAGGGGGGACAAGTATCGTCATACTACTCAAGTAGTAGGCAGTGTAACACGAGAAAGTTTGCAAGGATATTACTAGTAGTAGGCGTTTTGAGGCCACATCATGACGGAAGCAAGGTAGCATCAAGCGGATATGCATCGATGCAGCATCCGCAGGCGCCACGGACGCGTCTATACCCGACCTCCACCCCCTCACTCTTGTCTCTTACCCACATCTAATTTGTGCGCACCATTTGCATATGCACTGTCCATTAAACTGCAATGAATTCCAGAAGAAGCAGTGATCGGTGGAGAAGATGTGTTTCTGGCCAGCTGAAGGGAAAGGGGGGTGAGGGGGGGCAGACTCCTACCCTGAATCCCACAACTGTCGTCCCTGTTTGGTCGTGTCACTGCTAAATAGCAAGCTGAAAATGAGTCCGAGGGGGGAAATAGTGTGATATCTATGGTTTAATCGGAGGAATAATCAGTTCTGGTGGTATTGGATGAGTGACTACAAGTACTCGGGCCCTTTTCCTGAACGTTGACTTGAGGAGTGCGCCAATTTACGAATTTGAACTTCGTCGTTAACCAGTCGCGAAGATTGCGCCGGCCTCTTTAACAAACTCCCAATAAGAACAAGAAAAACAAAAGAAAATGGAGGACTTTTACAAAGCCCTCCGACTGGACGACACAATTACTTCGTCCATCCGCGAGAGCATCGGAACCGGTCTCCCACTCCCCTCTGCCCTTCGAGCCACCCTCTCCTCCGAACTCTCGTCCTCCCCTGCTTCTTCCCCTATCCCTAAACGCCTCCAATTCGTGATCGACATTATCGACATTTGCAAGGATGATCGGGAACTCTACCTTCCCATCCTTCAGGACAAATCTCTCAGCACACTCAACGACGTGGCTTTGAAGTACTACAGCCCTCCTGACGACAGTGACGCCGCAACCCAACAAATATCCAAAGCCGTACGCCCAGAGCTTCTCTATCGCACCCCAATCGCCGTGCTCAGCGCCCTCTGCAACTCCGGAATCCTGATTATTCAACCCCCCGCCGCAAATACCACCCTCCGCAAGCTCCTAGCCCTCCACGCCAACACTAACAATAGCGGTAACACGACGCATTCCACTTTTAACCAATTCACTTCCACATCAGCCTACAAGTCCAATCTATCATCCCTTGCCACTGGCGATGCCACAGCAGTCCAAAAAACCCTAGCCTCCCTCCTCCGTCTGCATGCCCTAGTCACAGACGCAGAAGACCTACCCGCTCTCCTTGATGCAGGCTTTACATCCGCCCGGTCCATAGCCCTAACATCCCAATCTGATTTTACCAGCCGTCTCTCCTCCTCTGCTCTCAGCAACACCAAACTCGCAGCCATACACCGCGAAGCACAACGTATAGACACGCGTAATGACGCCATCTGGGCCGACATTGTCCGCTCCCGCCGTGAGATTCCAGTCCTTGCCGTAACGGGTATAAAATCTGGCAAAGACTACCCTGAGACAGACGATGTACAAGTCAACCTCGACACACTCTTTCGCGATCTGGACAGCGTGACCGCCGATGAGAGTACCTCTGTCTTGGGCCCGGCGTCATACCTCGTCGATCTCATGCAGCTTCTCCGCAGTGCATCCATCGGGACTTGTGAAAAGGGATGGGAGGTGAAGGATGCCAAGACCATGTTGGATATTTTCTTGCATCGGAGGCCTGATGTGGCGGAGATACAGTTGAGCAAGGTTGAAGTTGGGACGGCGGTTACATATCAGGAGATGGTTGTCGAAGTTATGGAGAATTATCTTGAGAAGGAACTCGGTGTGGATGAAGGGGGGATGTATACAGCGGTTGCGGAGAGAGTTGCGCCCATGGTGGTTTTCCCTTATAACAATGCTATGGGGATTACGAGGGCTGCGTTGCATGGGTTGGAGTATTCACGGTATGAGCTGCTGAGGCGGTTTCAGACTGATGGGGATCTGGTACATCGAGCTTTTCCTAGCTTGCCAACTTCAAAGAAAGGGGATTACCTAGCTGCGGCACATGCTACGCATGAGCGACGGTTGGCTGCTGAGGCACTCAGCTTGCAACCGTTGGACTTTGAGGCTATAACCCAAGAGGGTATTTACACGCGCGACTTTGTCACTTTTCTTCAGCAGCAGCATTCAGACCTGGCTTCCAAAACCTATGATCAGGTAGTAGGACTGTCCTTGGCGGGAGAGTACTGGGGTTATGAAGCGGATAACCAGAAAGTGGCCGCATCATCGCCTGATGATGGATCGAAATCTGGAACACCAACTTGGAAGATGATTAACCCAGCGTCGACTATGAGCCTTCGATTGATCAAGGCCCAGCTTCTGCCGAGATCCGACCTCACACCTTTGGAGCTGAATATGATTCTCAAGACTCGATACTTGAGTAATCGCCTCGTGGTCACGCTGGAGAAGACGGTCACCGAGACCGTCGATGATAAGCCAGTCACAGAACAGAAATTCAGCGACGAACTGGAAGATATGCGTTTACAAGAGTCGCCGATGATCGGTCGCTCTGATGAAGCGGCCAGAATATCTCGCCGTACATCCCTCGATCTCCAATCCTTCATCCGTCTCCGAAACATCCTTGGCTGGTCCATCGAGACAACAGATGCAGCTATAGCCGCCCTCGCTCATCGAGAAGTCATCTATCCTAGCGATACAACTCAACATCACGTCTTGGATGGAGACTTTATCCGACGTCTAGCCGCAGCGCAGCAATTATCCATCAAGACTAGTATCCCCGTCGTCGAGCTGTTCCCTTTTTGGGGCCTCATGTACGCACAATTTCCCAATTCTCTCTATGCGAGACTGTTTCTGCGTAGCGGGTTGGTCAAGTTGTATCCGTCTTTGGCGCTTGTGGATGGAGATGGACAGACGGACGCTACGTTTGGGAAGAATATGGGTGCTGTGTTGCGAGCGTTAGGTATGACGCAGGATGAGCAGGTGGTGTTCATGGGGATTATTGGGTTCGATTCCAACACGGTCTGGACGCTTGATGGGATTGCTAGGCTGTATAGTCATCAGCGGCTGTGTAAGATTCTTCGTCTGCCGGTGAAGAGGTATGCTGATTGGTGGAGGGTTGTTTGTAAGAAGGGGGGTGTTGATCCTTTTATTGATCCGCAGAGTGCGTTGAAGGTATTGGATTTGTGGTTGGATCTGCCAGAAGGGATTGAGTCGAGCCAGCAAGCGCTTGATTTGATCATTTCTTTGGAAGAAGAGGAGGGGGGAAAGTTGGATGAGCATGATTTGAGTGCTGTGGCTGGTATTGTTGGGGGAGTAGCGGCCGTTGAGAGGGAGTTTGCTTTGGTTTTGAGTGGTGGAGGGGGAGGAGCAGGAGATGTTCAAGTGTATAGCAGTGAGAGTTTACTGGCTATGTGTTCAAAGATTTTGAATCCTTCTGTTGCGAAGGATGTAGTTGATGTGGTTGAGGGAACAGCAAGTATGCTTTCACGATCATTAATATCGCCCTTGGTTCTTGAGTTACTTTATTAACTTTTTTCTAGGCATCACAACAACGAGCAACAGCATAGCCATCAGCGTGTTTGCTCAGACCTTCCGTCTTAACGTATCAGATGTCATCACCGCTTTTAAAGAGCCAGTCACAGGCTCGAAACCTGACGAAAGAGAACAAGAGATTGCAGCACGTCGAAAACAAGCCATGGTCTGGATGGTCCCAGAGTTAAAACGTCGAGCAACAGACGCTCTTGTCAGCGACTCACTTGCCACTCGTTTCCACGACGCCCCTTCCCAACTCATTCAGCAGCTCCTAGCCGCCAGGGATCCCACGCCCTTACCTGGCGTCCCAGATCCGACAAATGCAACATACCTCCAGTCTCTGAAAGGCTTCTATGCTTCTATCAAGGACTACTGTTCCGGGGCAACTAGTACATACTTCTTCCCTCCTGTGACGGCGGAGTATACTTTCATCACCGACTCCGATAAGGGGAAAGCTGCTATCAACGGTCAGGATTGTCATTTTACGCCTATCCCTGGGCCTGATGTGAAGCGTCTTACTACGCCTCAGCACTTGCGACAGGGTGACGTAGTCTTAGTGGAATGGACGGATGGGTTGCAGTTGGAGCATCTATCATATTCTACATCAATAGGGGAGGTGAGCTTGAAGGACAGCTTGATTTGTCCAATTGAGCTTGCAGGTCTCGTTTGTCTAACTCTGGGCCACTTGGGACGATGTATGGGCGTGGCTAAAATGTTGAGTCTTGAGCCGGCAGAGGTTGGCTTTCATCTTGGACGGGGGATTGACTTCTCCCGTTTGGGTGTCTCTCAACTACTCCAACTACGGTCCTTTATTAATATTCGAACACAATTTTCGACATCTGGTGTGGCGACTTTGATAGCGTATGTCCAGTACCTTGAACGACTCTCGGGCGGGTCAAAGACGGATACGATCGATAAGCTAGTGGCCGAGACGAAACGGCTGACTTCACTTGACGCGAGTGACATTTCCGCTTTCTTCACTACACGCTGGCCAACGGCAACAGTCAAGGACTTGGCCAAAACCTTCCTCGACGGGGACTTATATCCTCTCCAGCAACTAACCGAAGCCTGCTCTCTGTCCAAGGATCTCGGTGTGCCTATTACGATATTGCATTCATGGGCGCAATTACCCTGGGACCCAAAAAAAGCAGAGGACTTTGAATTTGCAGAGGAATTAAAAACGGCACTATCATCCTCGTCTGCATCATCCACAAGTGGTGGGGCACTCGCACGAGCAAAGGAAGTCGTCCTCACGAGACAACAACGCGTATTGCAAGAATACATCATCCGTTTGCCAGTTTTTGTCAACCGCGGTATCATCAACATCGACGATCTATCGGCAGATTTCCTCATGGACCTACAGATGGGGCCACCGATGGAGACATCACGAATCGGGCAGGCCATCGCCAGCGCACAGTTCTTCATCCAACGATCGTTGCTAGGGCTGGAGAAGGTGTACGGTGTGTCGACAACCGGAGTCGATCAATCCCTCTGGGCTTGGATGTGTAAATTTACACTCTGGCAAGCTAACCGCAAAGTCTTCCTCTATCCCGAGAATTGGGTCGACCCCTCCCTCCGAGACGACAAAACCCACGCCTTTGAAGAATTGGAGAGTAAGATGCTCCAAGCAAGTCTGGACCGGGATACCATCAGTCAATTACTCCGTGACTATGTCTACGCTATCCATGAAGTCGCCGACCTCGAAGTGTTGAGCTATCTCTGGGAATCGACCAAGGACTATCGCGGGAGATATCACTTCTTTGGTCGGTCGCGTGCGGCGCCTTTTGTCTTTTACTATAGGCAGCTCGTGGTTACTGGAACAAATACGATGTTGATGAGTTGGAATTGGCTTCCGTGGAGTAAGATGGAGGTTGATATTCAGACGCATGAGGTTGATGCTGACCAGAAGCCTCTTGCTCATCCGGGAAGTTATCTTCTCCCTGCGTTGTTTAAAAATCGGTTGTTCTTATTTATCCCACAGATTGCGAGGCAAGCGAAGAAGGGAAAGGATCAAACGAAGAGTTTGGCGGACCAAGCGAAGGATGTTAATGGGCCGTCCAAGGCGGAAGAATTTTGGGAGATTAAGATGGCTTGGGTTGAGATGAGGAATGGGAAGTGGTCTCCCAAGTATATCACTGCTACTGGGATTCATGTTGGTGTGGCTTCGGGTGAAAGTGCTTTACCTTCCATTTCGTCCTTTCGCTTCCGATTGGAGACGACGAATGGAGGTTTGAGCCTTGCTATTCATGTGGACAGGTGGAAGGTTTCTGGGAGCGGGGGTGTGTTTCAAATACTCGGACGTTTTGAGATGCAGGGCCTTCGACTGAGGTTGATCGATGGTATTGCTGGTTCAACAGTTGGGACTTATATCGACACGGAGATGGAGTTTGGACGTATTACGCACTCGAGTTCGACCAACAGCATCTCGACATTGAAGACCCAAGTTGAAGCCTATAAACTCGGTATCGATGCGAATCAATACTCACTTTTGGCGGTTCCGAGTCCGAAGACAATGACGGAGACGTATGCACTCTCATGGCTTCTGACCAACAATGTCTCTCAGTATCCGGGAGTCTTGGGACTGGTTGTTGAAAGAACTACACCGACGCAGGCTTCGCTATTCTTTGGCTCTCCTAGAATGACACTTGAGGGCAAAATCGACACCAGCAATAAGACGACAATCTCGACGTCAACTATGACACATGACTCGGCCTTGTATCTCGTCGAGGAGATTGCCGACACGGAGGGTTATCACGCCATCTTTGATGCACTCGAGCATCTCCCCAAGGACATGGAGAACAGGTCTTTCGGATTCCAGAACAGAAAGTACAGAGAACTGGCCATGCCAGCCTCGATTTACAACTGGGAAATGGGCTTTCATGTCGTGTCGCTATTGATGGAACGACTTCTCGCCACACAGCAATTCGACCTCGCTATCGAAATCTCCCGTCTCGTCTTTGACCCGTCACGAGACGACGCGAAACCCGACAATGCAGCAGCAATAGCAGCAGTCACCCCCCAGCCACTCTCTAACCTCGACCGAAGCTGGCGTTTTGCCCCCTTCAAATCAGCTGATCTCCGTCTCGGCGGGTCTGTACGACAAATTATACAGAATCTCAAACCCTTACCGGCTGAGTCCCTCGAAGTACAAGACTGGAAAGCAAATCCCTTTTCCCCGCACGCAGTTGCTCGGAAACGTCCAGCCGTGTATATGAAACGCTTTGTTATGAAGTGCATCGAGATTCTCATCGCAAGCGGTGATCAGTACTTCCGTCAACCATCCCTTGAGGCAATACCCATGGCTACACAACGATATACGGAGGCACTGACACTCTTTGGTCCGGCACCGGCTACAATTGTGTCACCTACGAGGCCTGTCACCAAGCGTTATGATGATATAAAGTCTCTTGTGACGGACTTTGCTACGGCTACCGTGGATATGGAGCTGGAGTTTCCGCATTTTATCAATACGCTTGTGAGGGGGAATGCTCCGCCTGCCGAGACCCGTGATGGGACATTGGGTTTTGTCCGATCACCGTATTTTGGTATTCCAGCGAACCCGGCGATACAAGCGTTACGTGATATCATCGACGGAAGGCTGTACAATATCCGTCACGGTTTGGATATTGATGGGAATCCACGTCGTTTGCCGCTGTTCGACCCGCCCCTGGATCCAGGACAGTTGATCGCTGCTAGAGCGGGTGGTGCGAGTCTTGCGAGTTTGGCTGGGGGTAGGACGGAAGGACCTATGCCGAATTGCAGGGCTAGGTTTCTTTTGCAAAAGGCGCAGGATTTGTGTGCCGAGTTGCGGTCGCTTTCCGAGTCCTATCTATCTATTAAGGAGCGCAGGGATGCTGAGGCTATGGCTAGACTTCGTGCGAGACAAGAGACCGGTGTGTTGTCACTTCTGAATGATGTTAGACAGCATCAAGTCTTGGAAGCGACATCAGCGCTGGAGACGTTGGCTGAGACACGCAAGTCACATATATTGCGCCTGACGTACTTCCTTGCTTTGATCGGGGAGTCAGCTGATATAGTTCCATCTTCCGACGCCGACTGGGTTGATCTTGACTTTGGCATTCGACAGCCAAATAATGATGAGTTACGGATGAGTGCAGAGGAGTATCTTGAGTCCACTTCGATGGAGTCGGCGGTGTATACGAATAAGATTGCTACGGGAATTGAGCAGAATGCTGGATTGCTCATGGCGTTGCCTAGTCTTACTATACAGGCAGAGCCGATGGGTATTGGTATCTCGACACAGATGGATGCTTCTATTATCGCCAAGGCTCTTCTTGTGGGCGCAGGGGTTATCCGGGCTGCGGCGCAGGCGAGTACGGATATGGCTAGCCGTGCTGCTCGAAAGGGACAGCTCGTTCGGCAACTGCAGGAACGTCGGATGCAGGCTAATCTCGCTGGTCATGATATTAAGATTGTCGATAAACAGGTCGAGAATCAACAGAAACGGGTTGATGTTGCCAAGGCGGAGTTGCGTGCTCAGAAGCAACAAGCCGTTGATGCAGCCGAAATGGAAGAGTTTCTACGAACCAAGTATTCTTCTGATAAACTATACTCTTGGCTTGAAGCTGAGACGAGGAAGTTGGCTTATCAGTCTTATCTTGCTGCGTTAGATATGGCGAGGACGGCGGAGAGGGCTTTACAGTGGGAGTATGGACCTAGGGCGCAACCTTCGTTTCTGAGCAGTGCGTATTGGGATGAGTCGAGGGATGGGTTGCTCGCCGCGCAAGAGTTGAGTGCTGCTTTGCATCGGGTTGACAAGTTTCAGATGCAGGGGACGCCGCATGATTACGAGCTTACAAAGACCATCTCTCTTCGTCAGGTGGCACCTTTGGCTCTCCTTAATCTCCGAACAACTAGGACGGCTGAGTTTGAGATACCGGAGGTTTTGTTAGATTTGGACTTTCCAGGACATTATTGTCGGAGGATTCAGAGTGTTGCTGTATCTATACCAAGTATAGTTGGACCATATACGGGTGTGAATTGCTCCCTAAGGTTGTTGGAGCATCGGTATCGACTCAAGGCTGGTGTTTCGCCTTCGACTGGGAGTTATTATAATCAAGATATAGCCGGAGACGAGCGGTTCCATACGGATAGTGTACCGATCACATCTGTGGCTCTGAGCAGTTGTACGCATGACACCGGAATATTTGAGTTGAACTTTGGCGGGGAGCGATATGCGCCTTTTGAAGGCGCTGGTGTAATTTCTCGGTGGAAGTTGGAGTTGCCTAGTCCGTTTCGACAGTTTGACTACAACTCCATTGGGGATGTTTTGTTTACGGTCAAATTTACGTCTCTGGAGGGAGGCGCTACTTGGAAGAATCAGGCCACACAGGCGGCGAGGGATTTTAGGAGCCAGATTGATGAGAGTCTTGGGAATGAGGGGGCTTTTCTGTTTGTTGATCTTGCGGCTGACTTTTCAAATGAATGGCGAGGATTTGTGAGTCGGATTAGCAAGGCGGAGGGTGCTGACCGGCAAAAAGTTGTCAGTATGAGCGTGGAGAGGTTGCCGAATATGTTGCCTTTTTGGAGTCAGGGGCATGCTGTCAAGGTTCAGCATGTTTGGGTTGCTTTGCAGCCGGCTGTTGGGGGGAGTGGTGGTTGGACGGGATCTGGTGAGGTTGATTTGTTCGGGAGTATGTTGGTTTTGGAGGCGGAGAAGTCGAGTGATGATTTGAAAGTATTGGGGGTTCAGGGAGAGGTTGCTATTGATAAGGGGTTTGGGGATTTAAGATTGACGTTTGGGATGGCGCCAGAGAGAGTTAACATGATGGCGCCGAGGAGTTGTTGCTTGATTGTTCAGTATACGCTCCCGAAAGGGGATTGAAGAATCCCCCCCTCTGGCCCAGAACGGCCTAAGGGAACTACATCTGCGTCTATAGGACTCGCTTAGATAAGACCACTCACATTAATAAAGTTCGCCTACATAGACGGAAGCCACCTCGTAAGTAGAGGCACGGCATTCCTGGTCAAAAGGACTATTAGACCCTCTCTTATTGCCAAGAACCTCGGTTCGGTTCTCCCAGTGGTTAACCTCCGGGGATAACCAAAAACAGAAGGTAGTAGAGAGATAACTAAAGATACTCGACGGACTCCCTAATCTACCCTTGTAGCCTTCTTAAATAGCTCACAGGATATGATGGGGAATGCAGGGCGGGGAACAGTTACGTACTATAACTGCAAAGCCTCCCCCTCCTGCGGCCACCTGGCGCACGCAGCAGTCTAAGATGTGGAAACAGTGGGAGTCTCTGAAGCTATAAAGTTGGCCAAAACTCATAGGCCAAGGAAAATCGCCAAAGAACTATACCCACGGGGCACAAGGACGTGTATAGCAACGAGACAGCAGAAAAACATGGCAAGAGAGGTCTAGAACTCCCTAGACCTTTGTGCAATGTTTTGAACCATTATCTACATTAACAGATAGGCAAAGAGGGAGAGGCTGTCACTGCCGGAGCCAGACTGGCGCAACAACGGCACCCTTACTGTAAATAATAGGGTTTCAAGTTTAGCGTTTAGGAGTTAGTTATGCTAGATTAAAAGTACCTTCCCTAACTGATATAATTATGTAAAGTTCCTTATATTTAGAAATATCTAAGCGTAACAAATACACACTTTGTATTTTAAGAAAGGAAAACGTTTATATGAAAGCTATTCCCTTTGCTTTTATAGTTTTAATTTTCTCACTATATATCCTTTTACTAAAGTACACGGCTTATATCTTAACAACTATAATGCGTTTTGCTATTATTACCACTGCCCTCTCAATTCTTTCTTTTGCTTCGGCAATTGAGGTTTGGATGTTTGACGATAAAAATTATGGTGGGGTGATCCCAGAACAGTCGCAGGTATGTCTCCCATTACTCAATAGGCACAGTTCAGTACCGTTCAAGCAGCTCTCTGACTCAAATTGCAGACGGTCACGTATTGTTCTCGGTTTGTCTCCAAGATGTCCGAGGTTGTGCGCTCAATGAACATCTCGGCTGGATCATCGATCCGGACCGGCACGGTCAATATCTCTGGAAGCTCCTCAACAATTGACGAGATCAAGTTTGCAGAGAGCGACCTGAACGCCGTTGTGGCTGTCAAAGTGGTAAATCAATGCCGGACTGTGCGTGACAATGTCTCCTTTTGTGCGCCGTCGGACGAAGAGATGACGACTTCCCGGTTTCACGAGGTGTACGGGGACTGCTTCATCTCGGGGTTTATTGAGGGAGGAGACCTACATGGGATCATCTCGATCAAGACTCTAGACTACTCCCGACGAGGCGAGGTCAAGACAGCAGTGAAGGGCCAGTTGAACTCGTCCATGAAGAACTGGTCGCCCGCACCTCGATCCTCCTCCTCCTCTATCGACAAGGTAATGGAGAGCGCCGAGGTGACAGTTAATGTCAACTGGTCTGGGGGCGGAGACATCAACCCAACAGGAACGGAGTGGACGCTCAGCTCCCTTGTCCAGGCGGCCTCCGTCTTCCCTCAGAGTGTTGCCAAATGCCCACAGCGCACCTGGGCTATCCTCAGTCGCTATGATACAATTCCCAATTTCATCGAGTATGCTCAGAAACATGCCATAGCCATTCGTCGCTATGATGGAGTCCAAACTTTTACCTGCGATCTGTTGGATATGCACATGGAGTATAAAACGAACGTCCAGATGCTCACTCATGCCATGGGCCACCTGGATCAGTACTATCCTTCACAGGAAAAGAACGCCATCGCTATCAACGTCGCCTCTTTAGTCACTGAACGTCACAAGCTGAAAATTGAGATGGCCAAGTTGGTGAAAGTGATTGAAGAGCTGTTAGTGCATCTATTCCCTTATTTTAACATCCATTTCTCATGTCTATTATAGGAACAAGGATCCTCACAAGGTCGTCAATTACAATGAAAACCTACAAATCGAATCACCAGAGGTCTGGCGCACTAGGTTACCGGTACGTCTCCCCTAGTACTGATCCACAAATGCATTTAGTTCGGGGATTGATTTCTATTAGATCAGAAAGAAGCCAGAAGAGGCTGCGACTGTGGACACTGCCATCAGGCACGTTCTTGATCATCTTCCAGTCATGAAAGATTCGTCAAAGACAGGAGCACCAGAGGACCCCCTAGAGTTTGCGCTAGGTAAAACTGTGCAGCTAGTCAATCACAAGGGATTCGGCTATGCCCTTGACATGGGAACATGTAAGTGAACCCTCGATAATTGATTTTGCAAAAAAGAAAGAAAGGAAGAAAGAGAGAGAGAAAGAAAGAAAGGCTTACATTATACTATGAGCCGCAGTCTCATCAGGAGGTTCAGTTCGAGCTCGGGGCTGGTTGCCAGATATGACCATCCCAGGTCAACAGTTGAAGCTCAACCGAGAGGGCACGGGCAAGGACGCGGTGTGGACCATTGAGCAAGAGGGTCAATTCCTGGGATTACAGAGTGCAGAAAAGGACTCGGCAGTGATCTGTTCTCCCCGAGCGCCTGCTAGGGACAAGCGCAGCCTTCAAGAATGGAAGGTGGAGTATCGCAGCAACATGCATAAATTCAGGTGAGTAACGGCCCTTCAGTTTGTGCGGATGATAATAGAAATAACATAACGCGTCCCCCAGCTTTCGTAACGTTCTTTCAAGAACAGTACTGTATTTTGAAACCAGCGGTATATCTGCAATGGAGTAAGTGAACCGTCATACTATATACATCCAATTTACATTGCTGACACAGTCTTGAAGGATGAGAGAGATATTATGCAAAGCAGATATTTCTCCTAAACAGCCCGATGATTCTGCCAAGTATAACCCCGGAAATATATAAATCAGCACTCTGGAGTATTGGCTAACGATCAAATAGGTTGGAGGCCCTTCTGTCCACAATGAACACTGCTCAAGCACTCAAAGACCGGTATCGACAACATGCTTTGAATGGGTTAGTACTCCCCGTCTCAGTTCCTCCATCAAACTATACTTTGCTAATCTTTCCTTCTTTAGGGTGAATCCGGGTACATACTTCGATAGTGGTGTCGGCAACACATGGTTCGACGTCATAGTACTTTGGTAGCATCATGCTCTATCCGATTGTAGTCCTGAATCAATAAAGCCTATGGCCAGACAGCCAGTACGATAGCAATTCGCAATAAAACACGTAATTACCATTCTTTTACAAAGCGATCGATCCTATCCTTGAACAATGATAACTGTACAATAAGTATACCTACGAAGCTGTAGGAGTAAACCAAACGCCAAGATGATGAAAAACCAAGGTGCTGAATGGCACATTAGTTCTACCTAGTGGGATATATCCAGATGCTAATCGTCAGTGACCCATTCCTCGCAAGGTAATAATAAAAGTTATCCACTGTGCAGGCCTCTTAGCTGCAGGCAGCCACTTAGTTGATAGAGTATATTTGTTCCCCCATCTTGGGGCCATCTAGAACGATCTGAGCATTACGACGCTATTGTTACGGAGCAATCTTTGCAGGTCACTAGCTTGCGCCTTAAATTAGGGGCTGTTGCCGCATTAGGGTTTCTCGTGGGACGGCTCGGCACGATGCGATAGCGTGAGTCAGGCCCCTTATTCGACCACTGTAGTTCGCTCTTGATGTTGACTTATTCCAGTTTGGGCCATTTGCAGAGCCTAGCCAGCCACCGGCGTGTTACAGCCAGCCACCAGCATGTTACAGCCAGCCACAGGGAAACGGCATTACCGGCCCCTCATTCACTATCTAGTAGGGTGCGTAAAATTTTCAAACTATTGAAATAATTGGAACTATTGCTTTAACTGCATACTCAGCCGCCCCGGCAAGCACAGCCATTGTTAAGCGCTGAACAGGGTTACGGCGGACTGTAATTGGCGCCGCCGCCCTCTAGACCAGCAATAACTTCAAACAGCCGTCGCTACACTATCTGAATATTGCCACACTGCCCATTCTATTACTTCTAGCAGCTACGGAGTATTTAATAGAAACTACCTGCTTTATAAACCTCTGATATTACTAAGATAAGCCTTTAGCTTACCAATAAAAAAAAATTCCTAACGAAAGTATATATAATAAAGTTTTATATTAATTTTGTTTTATAAAAAAATTTATAATTTTGTTTATTTTAAATATTAAAAATTTATTTCTTAAAAATCTAAAAGTTATATAGTTTAATAAATAATTTAAAACTTATGTTTTTAGTTACTTAATATAAAATATATTATTATTATAACCTAAAAAATAATATATTAAAATTTTTAAATTATTTATTTTATATATATAAACTGCAGAGAACTATTGAAAGCACTGACCGCTTATAGTGCAGCCTGTAAGTAGTTTTACCCTTAGACTGAAAAGCTGTCTCACAATATTCCAGACAGGAGAACTGTAATAAACATCTACCCCAGCGCCCACAGAAGTGTACCTGAGAGCCAAGAGCTGATTAACCGCTAAGAATCCCCTACCTGCCATCGTGTGGAGTTCTTCAGCTCAGATCCGGTTGGCAGGCCCAATACATAGAACGTGGCTGGCTATTTACGAACCTACTGTTTGCCACTAATTTAGTGTCCCCGTTCAATCACAGACATTCCAAAGGGTTAGCCTAGTAGAGACCAGGTCGAGGCCCTCCCGCGATTTAATTTGGAAAAGATTACGATGGTTACTGTCACTTGTCATGTCCACGAGTGCCTGATGAACTACTCAGGGGTAGAATCCATGCTGAAGGATTCAAGTTCGCAGTGCCTTACACAAGGGCTCGAAGTTCTGAACAGCTCAGCCACTCGAGTGGCAAGCTAACACTTTGGATTGGTGTTCAATTGCTGAGAGACTAGTAGGGAACACATGGTCGCATGACAGCTGCAATTGTGTACGTCCCTGGTTGAGATCCTCGTCTGAAATTTGCTACTACACATAGTTGTCGGGAAGCCCGAGCTGAACAGGTGGAGATTCTAACTATTGTCAACAAGTGCAAAGCCATGCGAACAAGTCGGAATCTGATCACAAAAATAGTAGGTGCCGCACATAGAAATCAGAAAGATCTGGCAAACTGGTCCTCATTTTGGCAGAAAGTAGCGACAGAATGTATAAGTATGTCCTGCCTCCTTCATCGAATAGCAAAATCCCCCATCTTATCAAGACAACGCAAAAGGCCCACAAAACTCCTAATAGTTCAATATGGTTTCTTACGCCACCAAGTTTCCCAAGATTGGCAATTTATGTCTTTCTGAAGTCCTCACAAAGTTACAGCCAAAGTTCCAGACAACCCTCGGACGTTCGACCCTACTCAAGAAGGAACTTGGATTCAAGATCTATGTTGGTCCAACGGGGCTTATAACAACTGGCGCTGAGATTCCAGGTAATAGAGTTTCTCCCTGGACAATGCAAAGGGTATCTGTTGCTACCATCTAATACTCCCTGTTTTATCTTCTAGGGTATGAATCAAGCATTACGTTCCCCAAAGAAGGGAAAAAGACCAATCAGCAGCTAGTGGGTGTCTTCCACGCCCATCCAAGCTGGTTCTTCAACAGCTGCCGCCCATCGGGTTCTACAGGAAGCGCACCTCCGAGTGGTATGAACATTAAAACAATACATCCTGTCTGAGAATTATTGTAACTAACTTACCTTTGTGAAAATCAGATGTTGACACTGCCAAGTCGACAGATTTCAAAAATCTATTCTTCCTCGTTGGAACTTATATCAATCCTCCTCCCAAAGGCTTTGATCCTGTCATTCACGAGTACACCCGGTCCCTCAAACAGTACACAGCCTCAGGAAATAAAAACACTATCTCAAGTCCAACGCCAGAGAAGAATTGGCAAATGTGGGTTGTTTACAATAATGCTGCGAAGAAAACAGACTTTTAGTTCACTGGACATATATATATGCCAGGGTATTCTCTGTGAACTAGCCTTAAGCACCTATTGTAACAAACTGGTTTCCTATTATTTAGTTATATTTTTTAAAATTAAGATACATTAATATTAATTTATGTTAATTTTTTATTAACTTAATATTAATTAATATATTAGTCCTATATGTATTTAGAAGTGCTTACCCTATAGGCGTATTATTATAATTATAAAATTCAAGTTATAATACTTATATTATTTTTTTTAAATAAACTTATTATTTTTTAGGTAGTGCTAGTTATTATTATATTAATATACAGTAATTAGTAAATTATTTAAATAATAAATATAAATTTCTCTTTGTTAAAAGTTTTAATATATTCTTTTTTATCTTACTATGACTTTACTTTTCTAATAGTTAATATATAAGATTTAGCTTTAATACTTACTTTTCTACTGACTTTAACTATATTTAGTTTTTATATAAATATACCTTTATATTTAGGTAAGTAATTATATTACCTAAATTATTACTATTACAACTGCTGTTATTATCTTTCTACTGCTGAAAGAATTTCCTAGCTTTATATATTATTAAAGCTTCTGTAAACCTTTCACAATATGTAATTTACCTATAAACAGGTCATATTGGCAGAAATAGAATATGTTTGCATTATATTGAGATGAAGATGTATAGTAAGGAGATACAACATTAAGTATAATTATTTGAACAAAAAACGCCAAGTCAAAGCTTCGCCTTTGGCCCCCAGAAGAGCTTGGGGACCAGCAGAAATTGCTTTCCAATCTTCCGCAGGACATCGAAATAACCTGGATTTGGGTTCTCACGCGCATAAATGACCGCCCACTCTTCAATCTGTGTACCCTTTTTCCTCATCAAGACAATACGACTAGCACGTTCAAAGACCATGTATCCCTCTGGGGCATCTGCCTTGCCCGCAGGATGAGAAGCAGCACCCTTTTTCAGGAGTTTGACGCTCTTGGTCCAGAACTGGCTGGCATCCCAGAACTCTCCCTTGGCGATATAGTTAGCCCAAGTGAGGAGAGTCTTAGCGGTGGCCATTTGATAGCAATACGGGGCAGTCTGGCCCTCGTACGAAACGATGTCAACTGCATCAACCTGCTGTGTTTTATTAATCAGCAAAGGAGAGATAGACTGCATAGATATGCTAAGGGTAGCTCACCTGCCCAATGATGAAGATCAAATCATCTTTCCCCTGTTTGAACAATGCTGGCTTCTTTGTGAAGTCAGGGGGCGTGGAGAAGGCAGCTTTGGGTTTGCCAGGTTCCATGGTGTAATTAACTTGATATCGTTATGAGGTTGAATTTGCCAAACAATACAATGCAATGTGTGATTTCAGTCTATATGAGGTGGATGGTCCAGGGAGAGTACTTGGGGGGAGAAAGGGGGAGGGGGTGGGGTGCACGAGGTATAAATAACCATGATGAGTGCACTTTTCCTTGCTTGTCGGCAATAATAGCTCAGTCTCAGCCCATTCATATGTACTGTCTGCGTACCACGCGCCCATACGGGGGTAGTGCTCAGGGCTCTAGCCAGGCCCAAGCCGCCAGACCACGAGCTTCCCAAGTGTTCTCGCTAGGGTCTAGACTAGTAGAGTAAAGTAGATTTGCTCTAGTGGCAACTAGCCTGTTCATCTACCGCAAACTGTTGTCTTGGGGCGGTTGCCACGGACTAATTTAGTGCAGTACATACTAGTAGCCTTCCCCACATGCAACTGCAAACTCGACCCAGTCAACTGATGCTCGCGCTGCATGCCAGGACCCTCCACTTCTCTATATCAAGCAATTATAGGCGATCGCTGATGCAGGAACCACATACCAACGGTGATCTCATCACTTTGGTGTCTGCTCCCATCTCTTCTCAACCACAACTGAGATTCCTATTCTCAAACTAGAATCAGTCTTTGATAGGCTTTGCTGCTTCTATTCAGAATTCCATTATGGTTGACTCACCTTCTTTGCTACTTCGCCCCTCTTTAGGCCAGTCCCCCGCCGTGGGCGCCCTGTATAATGCCCACGCTGACAGGATCCTTGATCAATCTGTCTTCATTGACCCACCATCCGTAGAGGTTGTTACCACCAAACCCAATCCCTCCGCTCGTTATGAGCTGGCCCAAATGGGTTCCACGGAGCAAAAGTTCTCGAAGCTTGGTGTTGGAGATGAACTTGCGGTCAGTTTCCTGTGCGATCTGGTGACAGTTGGGGGCAGTGGGAAGTGGCTTCAACAGGCCGAATCAAGTGTGCAGGAGCGTGAGGCGTCAGTCTTATGCATTTCAACAATAAACCGTCAATACATTGATTGGAACAGCACCAACAACAACCAGGACGAATTACGGAGTCTTATCGACATAACTGCCATGCAAGATGAAGATGCGACCCACGTTGTCTGCGGCATCCACTGGGGAGCCCGGACTGTCATAACAACCATCGCAAGAACAGGAGACAAGAACGATGAGCGTCTGCAGTCTATCCTGGATTCTATTGGGAATGTTTACATTACAGGAGCGGTTAAAGACCTAGACAAAGAGCTCGGGGCCTTCGCCATTACTCTTGATTTCAAGATCCACGCTGACCTATTTCCTGCTGGACCCATTCCGACGACGTACAGTGGCGTGTGTCAATACTTGAGCAAAGTGCCCCAGGCGATCAAGAAGTTCGCTGGGGGCAAAGGTCGATGCCTTGCCTATGAGCTTGTGCCTATTGCGGAGTTTGCACAGAGACTCCAGCTCGACTTTAAACTATCATCAACGCAGCTGTGCATACCCGTGGAGCCCGACTGCCTGAGAGAAGTTATCAGCCTCTTCGCGGCATTTACTGTCTCGAAGCAGAGGCTTCACGATTGCCTGGAGAATCTGACGCGTCACCTATTCTGCATTCCCGCTGAGCATCTTGACCGCGTCAAGAAACAGGTCAAGTCCGCTGGGGAGGGTGAATGTGCCATCAAGGCCAAGCTGGCGCAAAAGGTCAAAGAAGCCCGTCAAGACGGCGATAGTAGTAGGAGTACGGAGCTGCGCGATGCACTGACAGAGCTACGGGATTCTCCTGACAGCCCCGAGCGGATAGCTGAGATTGTCGGCCTGTACGACGAGAAGATGCAGTTTGCTGATGAGATAGTTGCCGCTGGTGCTCGATATGGCAGTGTTAAGGAGGCCATTATGGCCAGCTTGACCACCCAGGAACGATCCCAGGACCTGTACATTCTGCATTATAGCAAAGCGGCGCTGGTTCACCCTGACTGGGAAGCCACTAGGCTCAAGCTTAAGGACCTCCTTTCAGTGACGAAAACCACCACACAGTCGGTAGTGATGGTGATCGACTACGACATGCACACCAACGGTGCCACCCTCGAAGCTCCGCGGATTCAGCACGAACGCCAAGGTCAGGTCACCAGGGTTGATATGGTATCTGACGCACAGGAGCTCGCCGGTACCTTTTTGCTGCGTTACAGGCCGGACAAATGGATCAAACCTGACCCATCAGTCAGAATCCCGTTCGCCGAACGATTGCTGGTTACCATCCCCTGCCCGTGGCCAGCATGCCCGCAGAATGCACCCCGAGATTGGATCTGCCCTGTTTGTGAGGAGAGGGTTTATTTCTGGCCCGTGGATAAGTACCTCCACTGCCAATGTGGCGAGTATCACCCGGCCAATGCTCAGTTCCAGTGTCAACTAGCCAGCCACGGGCCACAGTATTTTACTCCTAGCAACAGTACCGTGCTGACTGGCCTTCTTCAAGCCTGTCACGCGGCACCGCAGTATAATATCCTCATTCTGAGTGAGATTGGCGTGGGCAAGTCCACCTTCATTAACTCATTAATCAACTACCTGCAGTTCGACTCTCTCGACGATGCGATGAAGGATGAGGGTGAGCTGCGGTACGCCATTCCTAGTTGCTTCAGCTACGAAGAGGCTAGGGACGGCATATATTCACGCTTCTAGGTCATGATTGGAAGTGAAAGTTCCGTGGAGTACCTGTCCTACGGTGGCCAGTCGGCGACGCAGCAACCCGTCAAGTACCAGTTCAACCTTAATGGCAAGATTATTCAATTGATTGACACCCCGGGGATTGGAGATGTCCGGGGCCTTGATAAGGACTACGAGAACTTCCAGAATATCCTCAAGACGCTCGAGTCCGTAGACAAGCTGAGCACGATCCTGTTCCTAATGAAGCCCAACAGTGCGCGGCCGTCAAGCGCATTCGACTTCTGCCATACAGAGCTCCTATCACATCTACACAAGGACAGTAGCCGCAACATCGTCTTCGGCTTCACCAACTCCCGGAGCGCCAACTACTCACCGGGCGAGACCCGGGCACCACTAGAGCGGCTGCTCAAGAAGGGCAACACAGACATCCCGCTCCCACTCGACTCTAATAAGCTCTTCTTCTTTGACTCGGAGAGCTTCCTCTTCCTGGCCGCATACAAACTCTTGGGTCAGGAGAGGAGTGGCAAGAGCGATTGTGTGGCCAGTTGGGAGAAGTCGGCGCAGGAAGCGCATCGGCTGATCGCCACTACCTTCAAGATCCCGGCGCAACAGGTGAATATGACTCTCCGTCTCAACCGCACGAGGCAGCTCATCACCAGTATGACAGTTCCGACAGGAACGACCCCAGAAGCTACTCCGACGAAGGAGGAACAGGCAGAGCTAGAACATGAAGACAAAGAGATCAGGGAGGCGCTAGCGACGTTTGGGGCTTATCTAAACAACAGTGCCATGGTGGCCTACAATGACGCCACCATCAGGTATCTGGACTACATGATCAGCCAGGCGGCCCACCAGGCTCAAGTCGAGAAGAAGGCCCAGCTGGAGGCACAAAAGGCTGTCAACCAGGCAGAAGTCACTCGGATCAGGCAAGCGATTGAAAGCAAGACAGAATCCCTACCGACGGAAGACAATATCGATGCCATTGTTGCTGGATTGAAGAAGCTACTGCACTTTGGCCCAACCGTGGATACGGTCATGGGGCCAGGGTCGGTTTTTCTCACAGAGCGGAAGCCTATGGAGATTGAGATAAGAAGAGTTTCAGGGGAAAAAAAGAGAAACCAGTTGTCACTTTAGTAATTCATTATATAATCCTATCAAATATTAAAGGACTATCATATGTATTTACTTACATAAATTAGGTATTAATACTAATTATGTACTTTACTAATATACTTACGATATATCTTATTTTTTAATCTAATGTTATTACAGTAAATATCTATTTTAAAGACCGTCCTCCATATAGGTCGGTGACCTCCTCGGCCCCTGTGAACATGTATCTTTGACCTCTCTCTTATCCCGTGCTCCGCCAATTCGTGTCCACCCTTTCTCTTGTTTCTGCAAGCATCACTGTCATTCAGCTCAGCTCCTCCGCCCCTCCCGCCGCGTCATCCTTCTGCATTGGAATGAAGTTCTCCTTCTGCCGGGGGAATTGACCGACCATCGCGATGCTTACATCGTCCCCAATGCCAGATTGCGGACTTTTACTAGACACTGGTCTACGATTACACTATTTCTAACTCTACAATGCGCTTCGTATGGGCCTCCTTCCCGCCTTCATCTCACAGAATCTAACCACGTCAATAGTCTAGAGGCGTACTCCTGGTCGGGCCTCTTCAAAGCGCTGCGATTCTTTTCAGGCAGCAGCAGAGCATCTCGCTTGTCTTGTGAGGCCTCCAACAGACGCCCGGCCAATGGCAGATATGCCCCAGTGGCTCATCCATGCCTTCAAGACATCACGAAGGGTGGTGCCATCTCCTGAAACTGGCACGGGTGGCTCCAGAGGCTTCCGGCACGAACTTTCTCTCCAATTGGTTCCCAGAGCGGGAAGAGCGGGCGGACTGTGTGATCACCAGTCGTTTGACGTCTCCCAAGTCGCCATTCCCCTATTCAGCGGCTGCCGAGACTGCCCACCGCTTGGGAGGGACTATCCCTCAATTTCCGCCTGCCGGCCCCGGGCTCAGCTGTTCGTATGCCGCTTGTGATAGCTCACCAGCCTCAAAAACGGGCGCCAGCCAGCATGTCGAGAGGGGCGATTGGCCAAAGAGGAGGAAACGGGGACGGGCGCACTCATCCGAGCTGTTGGTGTTGCATGCATGTAGCCTCGGTTGTGTCAATGTTGCGGGATCATGAGACATTTTTGACGGCATCTAGAGCTCCTGAGTGCTCTGAATGGTTCAAGAAGTTCGCAGCTGTGACGATCAACATACCCAGGCGCAGCTTCGAGCTCCACTACGGTCAGACAGAAGAGCCAAGACTGCCGGAAACTTCCTACCCGATGCTGTTTGACCAACCAGACATTACGCGTCGTGCGTGAACAGCCCAACAGCCTTCAAGACCTGCCTCATCTGGCATCTCCGAGAACTCTGCCTTGCCATCGAGTGGCGTGGATCCCTGATGATGTGCGAGAAGACGAAGTGATGGGGGGATCGTCTGTTCAGCACAGTCGCCTGGTGTGGCCCGGCAATGAAGTGATTGGCGCGAAGGAGAAGTCGTTACGTGTCCGCCTCTTGTCCGACCAGGTCTGATCTTGGAGAACGAAGGGAGACAGCAGAAGGAACACTCAGCTGGTCTCCTGCAGGCCAGACTCGTGTAGCTCAGCTGCAAGCATATAAGCTATACAATGCCCGCCCGTCTTCCGTCTCTTGTCTCATTGCACTGCCAGAACAAACTTTTGTCTCCTGATTCCCAAACACGCAGTATCTCCAATATGGCATCGGCAACCTCTGATGCTGCGGAACAGCAACCGCGCCAGAGCTTGAGTCCCACTCGTTCTCAAGCAACCACTTCATCGGTGGGCTATAAACACTCGTCTCTAGGCCATTCCAAGGAGACCGCTATCTGCATTTCCCCCGACTTGGACACAGAAGACGAAGACGAAGACGATTGAGTTTTCGATAACTTGCAATTATACTGTTGAAAATAGGGGCACTAACATAGAAAGTATTAATACCTAGGTATACAGGGGTTAGTCTAGTTATTAGGCATAAGTAAAAAAGGTATGTTAATTATATAATTAATAATAACTAAAGTTAATTAATATATATTTTAATAAGTTATAAGCTTAGCGTTTATTTAATTATTAAGTTTTTATATATTTAAATTAATTAATAATTAAATTTATTAATTTTAATATATTCAAATTTAAGTATAAAAAAATATATAAAATAATTAATAAATAAAAATTAAATAATGTAAATAATTTAAAAAAGTATTAAATAAAATTATTATTATTAAATAATTTAATTAAAAAGTTAAAATTTTAATAATAATTTTAAAAAAAAAATTTAAGTTAATTAAAAAAATATTAAATAAAAATTAATAATAACTTAAATATAAAAGTTAAATTTAATATTAAAATAAAAGGTTTAATATTATAATAGTTAGTTTAATAAAAGGCTATATCCTAGCCTTTAGTTTAAAATTTAAAATTAATTTATAGCTTAATTTAATTAATAATAACTAATTAAACTAAACTTTAAAAATTTAAGTTATATTATTAATAAAAGTATAAAAAGTATAATTATTTATTAAAATTTAAAATTAAACTTAAAATATATATATATAAAAGTTTAAATAATAAAGTTTAAATATAATATAATAAAGTTTAAATTATAGTTTAATAATTTAATTAATATAAAAAAACTATTATATTAATTTATTAAATTATAAAAAATAATAATAATTTTTAAAAATATATTTTATACTTTAAATAACTTAATAAAATTAAATAATTTAATTACTTTTTCTTAAGTAAAATAAATAAACTTTATAAAGCTATAATAGCTATAAGTTAATTATAATTTATTATAAATTAACTAAAAGGTTTTAAAAACTTTAAGTTAAGTAAAATAATTAAAAAAATTACTAAAAAAGCTAATAAAGTAATTAAATAAAAGTTATAAAATAAACTTTTTTTAATATTAGTTTCTTTAAATAGTTTATTTTTTATATTTAAAAGAAATAACTTAAATATAATAAAATAATAAATATTAAAGTTAATAAATAAAAATTTTAAAAATAATATTAATATTTATAATTATAAAGTTTATATATTTTAATTAATTTTTATTTTATAATATTTAATTTATAATGTATTATAATAAAATAATAATAATAATATTATTATTATATTTTAAATATAATTAATTATAATTAATTTAAATTTTATTTTATTTTTATTAATATTTTAAACTTTTAGTTATTTTTAACTTTTAATAAATAAAAATATAATTTAATTTAAAAATAATAATTAAAATTAATTATTAATTTAATAAAAATAAAAAATTTATTAAATATATATAATATAAAAAAATATTATTTTTTTATTATATAAAAATATTTATTTTTTTATTATATAAAAATATTTATTTTTTTATTATATAAAAATAGTTATTTTTTTATTATATAAAAATATTTATTTTTTTACTATAAAATTTATAAAATTTTTATAGTTTAAGTATATAATAATTTTATATATATTTTTTAAATATTTTAAATATAATTATTAATTCTTAATTATAAATAAAATATTAAAGTTTAAATTTATAAAAAATATTTTAATAAAATAATATTAAAATATAAATTTTTTTATTTTATTAATTAAAAACTTTTTTAATTATATAATTTCAAGTATTTATTTTAATAATAATAAGTTTTTTAAAGTTATATATAATTAATATTAATATAATAATAATAGTTTTATATAATATTTTAAAATTTTAAAAACTTTTTTAATATATTTAATTAATTAATTTTTTTTAATTATTTTATATAAATTTCTTTTAATAAAATTTATAAAAAATATAATAATATTATTATAATTTTAAATAAATTATTAATAATAATTTATTAATTTAAAAAAATTTAAATTTTATTATTTTAAAAAAAATTTAATTTTTAATAATTATTATTTTATTTTATTTTATTTTTTTAATTTTAATAAAATTATAAATTTTTTTAAATTTAAAATTATAAATTATTTAATAATTAATAATTAATTTTTAATTTTAAAAATTAAAAAAATAAAATAAAATAAAATAATAATTAATAATTAATTAAAGTTTTTTATTTTTTTTAATATAAATATAATAGAATATTATATTAATAAATTAAATATTTAAATATATATATATTTTTTAATTATTTATTTAATTTTTTTTTTAATGTTTTAAGTTTTTTTTATTAAATTATAAATTTTAAATTATTTTTTATT